GTGCAGAAAGCCCCAGGCGCCGAGTGGGGCAGTATTCAAAGATGTGCTGGTCGTTCGTCTTACAAGGGAGGAGGAGCTCTTCGTGCCAAGTGCTGATGGATCCTTTAGGTAATGCCTTCTGTAGGACAAAACTGTTCTCGTTCTTGTCCTTTTGAACGGGAGCAGTTTGCTGGAGCTTCGGTTGCTAAGCCTTTCATTTTATATTTTTCTCATGCCAAAAGGAAGTATTACATGAGGGGCTGAAGCATGAGACTTTTGTGTAATGGGCCCAGGGTTCAAGGCATAGGAGCCTAGGGTTCTGAAGCCAGGCACCTTACCTAGACCCCCCAACTACCCTCTACTATATCCCAAATACCCTCTATTAAGGGCCATAAGGGCTGTATGAGAGGGTACTTGGGGGGTCCTGGTAGTTGAAGACCCCAACATGTCAGCCTCGCAAGCCTCCATCGATGCGACCCCCCCCTACTTAAAGGATTGTGGGAGTTAGTAATTGGGGTTATAAGTAAGGTCACTACAGTTATAATTACTTATAACCCCAATTAAGGTAGACACCACCCCACTAGTCCCATGATCCTCCAAGTAGTCGTATTCGGAACGCCGAAGCCCCCTCTGAAAGTCTTGTCTTGTCCCTCCGCCGACATTGAACTCCCCTACCAACCTCGAGGTCTGGTCATAAAGCTGTGAAGCTCTAAACCTATTGGGAAAAAGTCTTTTTCCCAAATATGTTTAGTGCATCTCAAACTCCAGTTCCTGCGCCGGCGCCCGCGAAAGAAGCTCCGGTCTCCGCCAAGGATGCTAGCAGTGACCGTTTTGGGATTAGGGTCCAGGGTTTAGGCTTTCGGGGTTAGGGGTTTTAGGGATCATGGCGTAGGGCTTAATGGCTTCGGGGGTTAGAGTGCGTCTGGGCTTGAGGATGGAGGGTGTAGGGCTGGGCTTTTACAGGAGCTTTGCGGCAGCGAAACAGTTCTCCGAAGCATTGCCATTCTCTCTACGTCCTAAGCCCCGAACAGCTCCAGACTCCTTGAACCCGGTTCCAAAAGCGCATGAGAGATGCAAGCCATAAGCCCTAGATTGTAAGACCCTGCGATACGAATGCTGACGCTGACACAGTCAGCTCGTTCAGGGTTCAGCGATAAGTCGTTTTGGCCCAGGGTTGCCTGGGCCGACTGTCGTTTTTGTCGAATGCATCTGCGCCCTAAAGTGTCCCTAAAGCTTGTCAGCCCCATCCCATGAGAAGGCCGAGCACAGCTGAAACTGAGGCGGCCAGCAGAGGATTTTGCCACGCAAAAGGTCCTGCACCCTACGTGGTAAGCATAGACCTGAAACAGTGCAGACACCAAGCCGAGCTTCACAGTCGGTGTTGATGAGTAGTTGTTGAGGCTTGGGCAATTCCCCAAGGGCTCCAACTACTGCCGACATTAAAGCAAGCGACACTGGGTTTTGTCTGAATTGTTTAGTCATGAGCCTTGAATAAGGCCTTGAAGGGAGGTCATGTGTTCCGCGACCAACCACAACAAAGCGCTGAAGGCTACGCTGCTAGCATGGAGGTGGCAGTAATCGGCGCCACCCTGAATAATGACCTATACTATTTTGGGCGGCTCCTTGTTATAATGGTATAGAAAAAGGGGCCTCAACACCCTTTTCTAATTGTTAAAGCCGCTTTACTATATATAGTACCCTTATTAACTTATAGATTCCTTATAGTAGCCCTTATATATATATATATATATATATATATAGAGCCCTTTGAAGGGAACCCTATTCTAATTACTATACGGCCCGTGTACTAGCAACTGTCGAGAGAGATGTGCTGAGGGCACAGATTCCCAAAACCTTGCAAGCCTTGGCCCGAAAGCCTTGAATGAGGGTTGAAGTTCAGGGTTAACCCTAAACCCGAAACCCCTGAACCTCTAGACCCTAAACCCCAAAACCCTAAACCCCCAAACCCCCAAACACTAAACCCTAAAACCCAAATCCAAAAAGCCGAGCCTTGCACCCGCTGCAAGTGGGGCATGTTGTGACAGGAGAACACGCCGCCACCCGCAGCGCCAGAGCGATTCGTTTACTCCTGAGGCTCTGTCTTCTGTGGAAAGTTGGAACACGGACTGCTACCTTGGGCTTTGAAGGGCATGAGGACCATGGTGAATTCCCAACTGGTTCGTATGTCCTAGGTCCAAGGCTCCAAACCCTAGTACCTTTACTGCTCAAGAAGCAGGACCCGCTGCCGTCCTCCTTTGAACCCCCGCCAGTTGCCTTCACGACTTGGCTTTGGGGTCAGACCCGAAACCCGAAACCCTAAACCCCTAAGTTAACCCCCTGACCCCCTAAAACCCAAAGCCCTAAACCCGTTGAACCCCCATGAACCCCCTAAACCCCAAAGCCCTAAACCCGTTGAACCCCCATGAACCCCCTAAACCCCAAAGCCCTAAACCCCTTTAACCCGTTTAACCCCCTGAACCCCCTAAACCCCTAAGCCCTAAACCCCTTTAAACCCCCTAAACCCCCTAAACCCCTATAAGCCCAAAACCCCTTATAACCCTGTAAATCCTTAAACCCCTAAAACCCCCTGAACCCCCTAAGCCCCACAGCCCTAAACCCCCATAGCCCTATAAATCCTTAAACCCCTATAACCCTATAAATCCCTAAATCCCTATAACCCTATAAATCCCTAAGCCCCTATAGCCCTATGTACGTAGGACCTTTAGGTCCTATTTGGCGTAGGGCTTGCTCTGTGTCTTAATATATACTGTGTATATACGCAATTAAAAATTTAAAGAAATTAAAAAATTTAAAGGGAGTAAATCCTTTAAATTCTGAAATCGTCCGGAATTAAAAATTTAAAGAATTTAAAAAATTTAAAGGAGGTAAATCCTTTAGATTCTGAAATCGTCCGGAATTAAAAAATTTAAAGAATTTAAAAAATTTAAAGGAGGTAAATCCTTTAAATTCTTTAAATTCTGAAATCGTCCGGAATTAAAAATTTAAAGAATTTAAAGAATTTAAAGAATTTTAAAAATTTAAATGTCCAGCTCCAGCTCCAGCCCCAGCCCCCCAGCCTTCGACCCCAGCCCACGGAATTCAATTTTTAAAATTCTTTAAATTCTTTAAATTCTGAAATCGTCCGGAATTAAAAATTTAAAGAATTTAAAACATTTAAAGGAGGTAAATCCTTTGAATTCTGAAATCGTCCGGAATTAAAAATTTAAAGAACTTAAAAAATTTACAGGAGGTAAATCCTTTAAATTCTGAAATCGTCCGGAATTAAAAATTTAAAGAATTTAAAAAACTTAAAGGAGGTAAATCCTTTAAATTCTTTAAATTCTGAAATCGTCCGGAATTAAAAATTTAAAGAATTTAAAGAATTTAAAGAATGTTAAAAATTTAAATGTCCAGCTCCAGCTCCAGCCCCAGCCCCCCAGCCTTCGACCCCAGCCCACGGGATTAAATTTTTACATTCTTTAAATTCTTTAAATTCTGAAATCGTCCGGAATTAAAAATTTAAAGAATTTAAAAAATTTAAAGGAGGTAAATCCTTTAAATTCTGAAATCGTCCGGAATTAAAAATTTAAAGAATTTTAAAAAAATAAATGTAGTAAATCCTTTAAATTCTGAAATCGTCCGGAATTAAAAATTTAAAGAATTTAAAAAATTTAAAGGAAGTAAATCCTTTAAATTCTTTAAATTCTGAAATCGTCCGGAATTAAAAATTTAAAGAATTTAAAGAATTTAAAGAATTTTAAAAATTTAAATGTCCAGCTCCAGCTCCAGCCCCAGCCCCCCAGCCTTCCGACCCCAGCCCACGGAATTAAATTTTTTAAATTCTTTAAATTCTTTAAATTCTGAAATCGTCCGGAATTAAAAATTTAAAGAATTTAAAAAATTTAAAGGGGTAAATCCTTTAAATTCTGAAATCGTCCGGAATTAAAAATTTAAAGAATTTAAAAAATTTAAAGGAGGTAAATCCTTTAAATTCTTTAAATTCTGAAATCGTCCGGAATTAAAAATTTAAAGAATTTAAAGAATTTAAAGAATTTTAAAAATTTAAATGTCCAGCTCCAGCTCCAGCCCCAGCCCCCCAGCCTCCGACCCCAGCCCACGGAATTAAATTTTTAAAATTATTTAAATTCTTTAAATTCTGAAATCGTCCGGAATTAAAAATTTAAAGAATTTAAAAAATTTAAAGGAGGTAAATCCTTTAAATTCTGAAATCGTCCGGAATTAAAAATTTAAAGAATTTAAAACATTTAAAGGAGGTAAATCCTTTAAATTCTGAAATCTTCCGGAATTAAAAATTTAAAGAATTTAAAAAAATTAAAGGAGGTAAATCCTTTAAATTCTTTAAATTCTGAAATCGTCCGGATTTCAAAATTTAAAGAATTTAAAGAATTTAAAGAATTTTAAAAATTTAAATCTTCAGCTCCAGCCCCAGCCCCAGCCTCCGACCCCAGCCCCAGCCCCCAGCCTCCGACCCCAGCCCCAGCCCCCACCCAGCCCCAGCCCCACAGCCACCGCCCCAACCCAGCCCCAGCCAAGCCCCAAGGCCCCGCCCCACTAGCCCCAGCCCCCAGCCCCAGCCCCCCCCCGCCCCCACCCCCCCAGCGCCTGCCCCCAAGGGGGCCTAGGGGCTGGGGCTGAGGCTGGGCGGGGGGGCGAAAAGGTAGCTGGGCTCGCAGGCCAGGGCGCAGCTGGGGTGGGATGGGGAGGAGTAGGTGGTGGGTGGTGGGTAGTGGGTAGTGGTGGCGGGTGCTGGGTAGTGGTTGGTGTGTGGTGGGTGGTGTGTGGTTGGTGGGGAGGGTGTGGGTGGTGGGCGTGGCGGGGGTGCCGGGTGGTGGATAATAGGTGGTGGGTGGTGGGTGGTGATGGGGTACGAGGCAAGGGGCTGAGATAGGGGGGTGGGTAGTGAGGTATGAAGGGGGCGGGAGGGTGGAGTGGGGGCAAGGGTGTATAATCCCTGCGAGCCGCGACCGAGCAGAAAGCCTGTAAATGCCGCGTTCAAAAAACGGCCAGGGATCCCACACATCTGCGGGCAAAATCTGGCGGAAGTGATCCGCCACCAAGCAAAAAGCCTGTAAATACCGCATTAAACAAAGGGCCAGGGATTTCACATATCTGTTGGCAAAATCTGACAGAAGTACCGATTGCTCACTTCCGCCAGATTTTGCCACCAGATATGTGAAATCCCTGGCCCTTTGTTTAATGCGGTATTTACAGGCTTTTTGCTCGGTGGCGGATCACTTCCGCCAGATTTTGCCCGCAGATGTGTGGGATCCCTAGCCCTTGAAGTGGTGGGTGAGACACGGCGGTTTGGAGCCTGCTGTCTCTTCCCATCCGCGTTCAAAAAACGGCCAGGGATCCCACACATCTGCGGGCAAAATCTGGCGGAAGTGATCCGCCACCAAGCAAAAAGCCTGTAAATACCGCATTAAACAAAGGGCCAGGGATTTCACATATCTGTTGGCAAAATCTGACAGAAGTACCGATTGCTCACTTCCGCCAGATTTTGCCACCAGATATGTGAAATCCCTGGCCCTTTGTTTAATGCGGCATTTACAGGCTTTTTGCTCGGTGGCGGATCACTTCCGCCAGATTTTGCCAGCAGATGTGTGAAATCCCTAGCCGTTGTTTTCATGCGGTAGTTACAGGTGTTTTGCTGGACCACAGGTCACTTCCGCCAGATTTTGCCAGCAGATGTGTGAAATCCCTAGTCCTTGTTTTCACGCGGTATTTACAGGTGTTTTGCTGGACCACAGGTCACTTCCGCCAGGTTTTGCCAGCAGATGTGTGAAATCCCTATAGGCCCTAGCCCTTGTTTTCATGCGGTATTTACAGGTGTTTTGCTGGACCACAGGTCACTTCCGCCATGTTTTGCTGGACCACAGGTCACTTCCGCCAGATTTTGCCAGCAGATGTGTGAAATCCCTAGTCCTTGTTTTCAAGCGGTATTTACAGGTGTTTTGCTGGACCACAGGTCACTTCCGCCAGATTTTGCCAGCAGATGTGTGAAATCCCTAGCCCTTGTTATAGCGCGATATTTACATGCTTTCTGCTCGGTCGCGGCTCGGGCAGGGAAGGCTGGGCGTGCGGAAGCAGGCAGCCGTGCCCACCCACCCCGTCCCATCCCACCACGCACCTCACTCCACCCCACCTCTCTCTTTATCATCCACCTCATCATCTTCACTATCTTCCTCCTCCTCATCCCTCGTCCTCCTCCCATACCCCTCCCTCCCTCTCCCTATCCCTCCCACTACCCCCTCCCCTCACCTTCCTCACTCTCCCCCACCTCCACTCCCTCTACCTCTCCTCTTCCCCTTTCTCTCTCCTGGAATCTCCACCCCCCCCCAACCCTCCCTTCTCTCCTTCTTAAATATCCCCCTAAGGTTTTGTGAAAACTCAGATCCCAAAACCACAGATCTTAAGGGGTGTCCCCCTAAAGGTTTTCATGACAAGTAAGTGCAAAAAGCACAAATCGCAAGGGGTGTCGCCCTAATATTTTGTAAGAACTCAGATCCAAAAATCACAGATCGCACGGGGTGTGCCCCTCTCAGGCTTTGTAAGAACTCAGATCCAAAAATCACACATCGCAAGGAGCGTCCCCCTAAAGGCGTTTGTAAATGATCCACCCTGTCCCTCTCACTTGCCTCCTACCTCCCCTACTCCTAACTCATTCCTTCCCTTCCCATCTCATGTCTCCTCACCTCCCATCACTTTTTCTCCCATCCACTCATCTTCTTATCATCTTCTTATCACCTTCATCACTTTTTAATTTGTCTTATGGGGTCTATAGAGCCCATATAGAAAGCTTCATAGATATATAAACCTTACAGATCCTCGAGATAAAGAACTTGTAGGAACCGCTTATGTTTCCCACAAATGGAGTCCTTTATAAAAAATCTTTGAAAGATCGATTATATGGAGCCCTCATACACAGTCTTTATATACTCCTTATAGAAATCTATAGATCCTTTGTGCAGATCCCTGATATGGAACCCTTTGTAGAAAATCCTTAGACTATACAATCCAAAGAACGCACCCACCCTCCACTCCCTCTACCTCTCCACCCATCTCCCCACTCCCTCCTCTTCCCCTCCCTTTGTCCACCCGCCCTCCCCTCTCCCCACCTTTTCCTTGCGCTCCCTCTACCTCCTCTCTCCAGCCACCCTCTTCTCCCTGTTCCTCTCCACCCTCTCCCCACTCACTCACCCAACCCACTCAGCCCGGCCAGGCTCCCCAGCTGGTCCTGCCTCAAAGCAAGCCGGGCGTGCTGGCCGTGGATCTCAGCAGGCCCCTGCCCACCCTCGAGAGCCCACCAGGCTCAGCAGGCCAGGCCGCAGGCAAGCTGCGAGCTGGCCGCCTTCGGCAAGCTGTCTAACATTGTTTCTTATCCACTTTCACCTATTCCCCCGCTTCAGTCCATGCCCTACCTTTCACTCCTTTCCAGACCCTTCTGATATGAGTAAAATGAGAGGAGGAGGTCAGAGGGACGAAGAACAGCTCTCTCCATTACTTTCTCATCTGCTTTGACCCCTTCCCTTTCCTGGCTCCATGCATGCCCTGCGAGAAGAGAAGAATAAGAGAGAAAAGAGGAAGAGCAGAGGAGAAACTGGTTTCCCCTCTTTCATTACGTAGCATTTCTTTTGGCCACTTCCTCCACACTTCTCGTATCTTCCTCTCTCTTCTTCCTCTGCTGGGCTTGAAGCTCTCTCTCGCCCTCTCCGCAACTCTCTTCTTTCTGTCGAGCGGACGAGCGGTGGGAGAGGAAGGGCACAAGGTGAGTGAAGACGAGAACACTTCTTCCTTGTCTTCCTCCACAACCTCTTCCTGGCTTTTTACCAATGAGACGGTGAGATAGGACAAGCAAGGCACTTTCGACTGCTTTCTGCATCGCTTCCCCTCCCCTCCTTTCTCTCACTCTCTGCCTCTGTTTTTGCTGGTCTTTCTCTCTTACTTTCTCTCTTTGTTTCTGTGTTTGTTTCCTTATGGCTCTCGTTCTTCTTCTGCCCTTCTCGGATTGTCTCTCCGCTTCTGTTGTCTTTCTCTTACTCCCTTGTCTTCTTCCTTGTGAATTGTCCTTCTTCCTTCTGAGTGATAGAGGGAGAAGGACGGGAGGCAGGAAAGGCAGGAGGAGAAGGAATAGGGGGCAAGCGATTCTTTCCAAAGCGATTCTTTCCAAGCGAACATAATAGGCGGAGAGAAGCGGAAAGGGAATGCGCAGAAGTAGACGGGAAGGGAGGGAGGGAGAAAGAGGGATCTGGAGAGAACAATGAAAAGGAGGATGGTGAGGTGATGAGAAGAGTGCCCTTTGCATGCCCTGAACTCTCCGTTCCTTTCATTTCTCCTTCCTTATGAAGATGAATAGGGTAAGAGAAGAGGAAGAAGGCGAAGGGCAAGGAAGTAAGAGAGGCGAGCGAAGGAGGAATTCTCCTTTCTTCTCCGAACCGTCTTCCCGCATCTTACCGCTTCCTTTCTGTTGTTTGCTCTTCTTTCCTTATGTCTTCGCAGAGCCCTTCCTCCTTATCCTTTTCTTTCCTCTGGTCATTCAAAAAGGAAACGATGAGGAGACGCGAACTGATTCTCCTTGCTCCTTCTTACCACACTCTGCTTCTCTACATCCCCCTGCTTTCTTTATACTCGGTTTGGTGTTCATGTCCTCAAGAGGCCCCCTTAGGGAGGAAGTTGGTGGCCTCCAGAAAGTTGTGGAAGTGTCTGAAGGCGCCTACAAGCCTCCTCGAAGCCCTCGCGAGGCCCGGAGTCCTTTGAGATACGGCAACATTGGTACTCTCTCGCTTCCTCTTCTGTGTCCTTCTTCCTAGTCTTCCTCGTTTCTCTTTCTTTCGCACTCGACTTCCCCCGACTTTCTCTTATCCACTTTCACCTATTGCCTCGCTTCAGTCCATGCCCTAGCCTTCACTCCTTTCCAGACCCTTCTGACATGAGTAAGCATCAGGAGAATGAGAGGAGGAGGTGAGAGGGACGAAGAACAGCTCTCTCCGTTACTTTCTCTCATCCGCTTTGACCCCTTCCCTTTCCTAGCTCCATGCATGCCCTGCGCTAAGAGAAAAACAAGAGAGCAAAGAGGAAGAAGAGGAGAATGGGGCTTCCGCCCTTTCAATACGTAGCTTTGGCTTACGCTTCTTCTGGCCACCCCTTGCCCCCTTCTCTTATCTTCCTCTCTCTTCTTCCTCTGCTGGGCTTGAAGCTCTCCCTCGCTCTCTCTGTATCTCTCTTCTTTCTCCTGGTTCCCACTTTTCCGCCAGACAAGAAAATCAAAGAAAGGAGAGCGGGCGAGCGGTGGGAGAGGAAGGGCACAAGGTGAGTGAAGAGGAGAACACTTCTTCCTCGTCTCCCTCCACAAGCTCTTCCTGGTTTATCACCAATGAGACAGTGTGATAGGACAAGAACAAAGAATGAATAGACGTGGAGGTCAAGGCACTGTCGGCTGCTTTATGCATCGCCTCCTCTTTCTGTCTCTCTTTTTGATTATCTTTCCCCCTTATTTTCTCTCTTTGTTTCTGTATTTCGTCCCTTATGGCTCTCTCTCCGTTTCTTTTGTCTGTTTTCTTACTCCCTTGTCTTTCTCCTTGTGAGTCTTCCTTCTTCCTTCTGAGTGATAAGGGGAGAAGGACGGGAGGCAGGGAAGGGAGGAGGAGAAGGAACAGGGCAAGCGATGGGACAAAGAGAGTGAGAGAAAGTTGAAGATAAGTATCAAAGCAAGCATAATGTAGTAGGCGAGAGAAGTGGAAAAGTAAATGTGCAGAAGTAGAGAGGAAAGGATGGAGGAGAGAGAGAGAGAGCGAGAGAGAGAGAGAGAGAGAGCGAGGGGGAGATGGACAACGCAATGAACACGAGGAAGGAGGAGATTATGAGGAACAGTGTCACTTGCTCTCCCTGAGCTCTCCGTTCTTGTCGCTTCTCCTTCTAATTGTGAAGAAGGATAGGAGCAGAGAAAAGAAGGCAAGGGCAAAGAAAGTCAAAGAGCCGAGTGAGGGAGGAATCCACCTTCCTTCTCCCAACCATCTTCCTCCATCTTATGTCTTCGCTTCTGTTTTCTATTCCTTCCAGCAAGGGAGCAAGGAAAGAGGGGACAGAAGAGATGAGAGAGCGAGACACGGCAGAGAGGAAGACAGAGCGAGAAAAAGAGAGAGAGAGAGAGAGAGAGAGGCGGAAGAGAGACAACGCGAGAGGAAATGAAAAAACGAACCACGTCGAGAGGAACTGACGTCGTCCCTTTGCCCCTCCCTCGTGTTACCCCTGTCATTGACAGCAGAAGGCGACAAGAAAAGAAACAGAAAAAGGATCAATCAAAGGAAGGAGAGAAGGGAGAGACGAGAGAATGAAGAGTTCACTTCGTCCATCTTCATGCCTATTCCTCTGTCATGACTTCAATTTCTGTGTCTTCTTGACAAACGGCAGAGTGGATAGGCAGGAAGAGGAACGGGAATGAGAGAAAGACACAGGACGAGAAATACACAAGACAGATTCTTGATGGTTCCCGGCGCGAGAGGGACGGGAGGACATTGTGATAGACTGTGATAGACCCTAAAACCAGCACGGAGAACTTGTGAGAGCGTAAAACCATCTAAATCCTCATAAACTCCAAACCTTAGATCTTCCATAGTATACTGACCCCGGTAAACCATAGTTAGGAACTAAGACCCTAGACCCTTAAACTCCTGTCGAGACCTTTACACTGTACGCGCTTCGGCCTCCCGATGTAACCGTCGTGCCAGACCTTGTCGTCGCCGTGTTGAACCCAGTCGTCGTCGTGCTAAACCGAGTCGTCGTGGCTTCTTGTCGCCGTGGTGTTGTTGCAGTTTAAATACAAAGCCCAGCAGGATTGCCAAATAGACCCTAAAGGTCCATGCCACATAGCCCTATATCTCCTTACAGCCCCTTTTTTCAAGAGCAGCCCAAGGCTCTGCGGGCCCGGGCCACGCTGCAGGCGGTTTTGGGTGGAAGTATTGGGCCCAAAGGGTCCAAGTACTTCCTATTTATGGTTTTTGGTACCTAAAAAGGCCCTAAAGTCCTATAATAGGGAGTACTTGGACCCTCTGGGGGTTTAGGCTTCAGGGTTGTTGGGGTTTAGGAATTTTCGGATTCGGGATTTGGAGTTATAGGGTTCAGTGCTTGAGGTTTAGGGTTTACGTTTAGGGTTTCGGGTTTCGGGATCTTCCTTTAGAGTCCAGCAGTGGGGGGAGTTGCGTTTGCCCAAGACCAGGAGCCCAGCTTCAGCAGAAGCTCTGAACCTGAAACGTTGTAGTTAAACACGCAACCCACTCCTTTTCGCTAGATCCTCACTTTAGGGGGTTTAGGGTTTATGTAGGGTTTAGGGGTACCAAAAAATGTTCCCTTCCAATCCCTGTATCACTAGTTTAATCATGTGTACTGCAAGACCCTACTCAGGGTCATAAGTATTTTAATTGGCGCTACAAGCAAATATAGCTGTAGTTACTTTACTCATAACCCGAATAATCATTAAGTTTCATGATCCTATAACTGTAGTTACGTTACTTATAACCCCAACTACTAAGTCCCATGATCCTTTAGATAGTCTAATCGTGAAGGTCCCTAGGTGACTGGAGCGGCCGACGACTGGACTAATCATTGTTCATCAAGGAGGCCTCAAACCTTTAACTCCAGATCCAAAGCCTACATGGTCTCTCCTCGGTAGTATTGGGGTTGCCCCTTAGAGGGGACCCTTCTTAATCCTACTTCTGGCTCTCTGAAAACGGACCTTGCAACGGACTTGTTGAGAGGGTCTATATCCCCTTTGGTATGAGGGCACTGTAAGCCCATATCACTTATCACTCCACACCCAAATCACAAGATTCTAAAGCCTTACACCAACCAACACTTCAAACTTATGTACAACAAGTCTAAACATGCCATATTCCTACATGCTACGAGAACTCCACAACATCCTCAGATCCCACCCTTCCAAGAGCTGCAACATTGCGGTTCAGGGAGCCTCAGTCCTTCGGAACCTGGAGGGCATCGAGGCCGGACCCCCGAAACTCTAAACGCTTTATTAGGGGTTTAGGGGGTTTAGGGTTTAGGGGGTTAGGGGGTTAGGGTTTAGGGGGTTTAGGGTTTAGGGGTTTAGGGTTAAGGGCCGCGACATGCGGGGGAAGAATACACACCTTTTTTGTTACGTGCTGGTTGCGGATTGTATTGGGTCTTTGTGAGGTGTCAGGTATGGCCCCTAAAGCAATAGATTCAGGATTTAGGGTTTAAGGGTTGGGCAGCTACACGCATTTAACAGCCTTCAAAGGAGACTGAAACTGGTACGCATTGCAGAAATTTGGTTTTTGTGGTACACTGTAGGGTAACAGGTAGCGTGGCAATGGGAAGACGCATGACAATACCAGTGTAAGATACTTCACACGTCAGGTGTCAGCAGAAATCACTACGTCTGTTAAGATTGCTGACGCTAGCGTACAATCGGTAAGACTAGTAGTGGAGCTGTAAAGTCTTAGGCGGTATGGCTTATGAAGGGTCGGTACCGGACCTACCACCGACCGTGTCATGCCTTTGTTTTCATCAACGAGAGCCCTACAAGAAAGTTTCCGGAAATGGGGGACCCAAATATAGTAGCCTAAACAGTAGGATCCTTATTACAAGAACCCCAAAATTAGATACCCCGAATTAACTTTCGGAAAATCCCACAATGCCATCATAGCTTGCTGTATCCCCCAAGGGTCCCCTGGCGAAGTAAGTAAGGTACTTCATATCGATGCTTGAACAATTAGCTCCTTTTGTAAGTATAGTACAGCGTAAAACATAATTCAAGAGCCCTAGTCCAAATATCAAGTTCATATGAAGTTCCCTGTATTTGACGATGATTGCAAGGGCTCATGTTCTGACCATGGTCTCTAAGCCGTGATTCAAGAGGGGCGCGATTTTGTCAAATTGAAACCCACGTTAATCCGGTATCCCGAAATTGTCCAAGGCTTCGGACCAACACACGCTACAATCAACACTACTATAGTACAATGACAAGTTGCGTTCCTACATAACGGCTCCACCCTGCAGCTTCCGTTTTTTCATGTTGCAGTTGTGCTATATATCTTCACAGGCTTCTACAACCGTGCAGCGTCTGCGGGATATGGTGCAGAAGGCCTGTCGCTCAAGCTCGGGGTCCAGGTGGGGCTTTCGGGGCTGGCGATATTGGCTATTCGAAGATTTAAATTTTGCGATATTGGCTCTTCGAAGCCTTACATAAATTTTGCGATTCTGTTCTGGGCTTCAGTCGTATGCGGCAGGGGTTCCAGTTCTTCTTGTGTTGTTCGGCAGGCTGCACCACTTTTGCCTGTAGGGCAGACCTGAACATCGCTCGCTAGCTTCCCTCCTTGTCGCACCCATCAGGGAACATCACAGGTACTAGAAACCATGAGACGCAAAAGGCATCAACATGCCAACATATCATATGTAAACTGCCCACAAATATCAGTTTTTATCTACATATATGAGTTTAAGCAGATGTTAATATAAATATGAATACATGTAAATATATGTGTATATTTATATATATATATATATATGTATATATACATGTGTATATATATATATATATGTGTGTATGTATATGGGTGTGTGCGTGTGTGTGTGAGTGTATGCATATATGCAGTGTATATGTTTCCCATAGTTGTTATATGTCTATGCGAGAACTGTATGTACACATGTGTATACACATACATATACATGTATATACACATATAGATAGGTCCGTACATGTGGTACATGCATACAATAATGTCTACTTGGAAGGTCTTGAGTCCTTAAGGTATGCCTGTAGCAGCTGTGTATGTTTGTCTGAGCGTATGCAACGGTGCCCAAACAACATGCAAGGGGCACTGCAGATAGAACACCCTGCAGAGGTGTGTCTGTGTGTGTGTGTGTGTGTGTGTGTGTGTGTCTGTGTGTGTGTGTGTGTGTGTGTCTGTGTGTGTGTGTGTGTGTGCGTGTTTGTGTGTTTGTGTGTGATGCACCCGAACTTCCGGATTGTACGGAATTTGTGGTTTGTCCCAAACTACTATACGCAAAAACGCAAGCCACGCCCACTGTAATAGCAGGTGTTGTTCAGGGCCTGTTTGGAATTTGGGGCTGGTTGCCATGTAGCGAATTGGCTCGACGAGTTCTGGTTTCCTTCATATCAATACTGGTTCTTCCTGAAATGAGCACAACGTCGATGATTCCGAAGACGAGCTGATGCCAAACCCGAATTCTTATACACCGCACAGCAGCGATGCCCTAAAGCCTACACCCTACCCTAAGGCCCCAAAGTAGTTCCTTTTTGGGGCTCATATTTAGAATCCTATAAGGTAATCCCAAAAAGGAACTACTTTGGGGCCTATGGGTAAGCCCTAAACCCTAAACCGTAGCCAGGCCTATCTTCCTGATGCAAAGGGCCTTGGTCTCGGGAGAGTTCTACGGAAGATGGCGACTTTTCTAGTGATGCGTATATATATATATATATATCTCTATCTATATCTATATCTATATCTATATCTATATCTATATCTATATCTATATCTATATCTATATCTATATCTATATCTATATATATATATATGTCTGATTGCGTAGTGACACTGTCGCGTCTTCTTGAGGCTTCAGGCTTCAGGGCTTTGGGAATTGTCGTGGCTGTAGCCAGCTGCTGGCTGATGGTCTCGAAAGTTGCGGAACCAGGGAGACGTCGTTTCATTTACAGCGCCTCTATAGACCCGTTTGTTTGCCACCCCACCTGTGGCTTGAGCACGCACGGGCGACTGTCGAACTCTATGCTTCGAGGAGGTCCAAGACAGTACTGGTAGTAGCAGTAGATCACGACCGTTATCGTTGTAGGTGGCGTTGGCCTCCTCCAGGACACCTTGTCGCAAGCTGGACAAGCAACAAGTGAAACAGCTGCAAAGGTTGTAGGGCAGAGATAGTGTTTACGCTGATTTTTCTCATCGTCGTCACAGTTGGATCATCATCATCATCGTCGTCATCATCATGATCGCCATCATCGTTATCACCATCAAAAGCATCAGCATCACCATCATCACCGTCATTGTCATCATCAGCATCATCATCAGCATCATCATCATCGACGTCATCGGCATCAACATCGCCACCAGCGTCGTCATCATCGCCACCACTGCCGGGATCAGCAAAAACACCAGTTCCGTCCTCCAGCACAGCAACATGAATCCTCCTCAGCAACATACATGAACTACTTCTTGCCGAGTGTTGTGTCATATAAATAAATAAATATATATACATATATATATATATATATATTGCTCATGGTGTTGATTTCCGCGAAGATTGTGCCCTAGGCTGAAGAGCTGCAGCGTGTTTGATTGCAGTAAAACAAATATATGTTTTCGCTTCCCGGGTGAAAGAATATTACTTCGACTGTCCCGGATTTTTCCGCCCTGAGGCTGTACTGTAATTACCCTGCATCAATAATAGAATTTCAAGCGACCAAACTTTCTCGACGGCCGTGAGCAAGGTCAGAACCTGCGGATCTTCTTCAATGGCAAGGCTGGCTCAGGCTTTAGGGGTTCAGGGCTTTTAGACAATTGCACAGTTGCCAGCACAACAATCCAAAGGAATGCACCCAGACCTCTGACTTACCTTTGGTTAGGAGGGAATGGAAGAATGGTAGCAATAGTAATTCAATGGTAGTTATATGTGTACCCGATTCCTCCATTCCCTACTAACCAAAGGTAAGATAAGCCATCAACCCATCTCACTAGCCTTAGTTGTACCGCAGCTCCAAGCTCTACTGAAAGTTAAGATCCTGAGTCAAACCTCAACCCAAAACCCTAAAAACCTAAACTGCTCCAAACCCCCATAGAGTTTAGGGTTATAGGAGCCTTCATAGAACCTTTAACAATAAAGAGACGCTGCACAAATCCTTGCTGTTCGGAGGAGCTGAGATCGTAGACACTACGACGAAACTTCGACCCCGCCGGTCAAACACAGCAGCGACACATGGTAGTTTCCGAAAATGGGGTACCTTACTTTGGGGTCCTGTAATAAGGACCCTACTATGTAGGGTACTATATTAGGGTCCCCTATTTTCGGAAACTCCCACATGGTCTTGTATCGAGGAGCTGAAGGAGCTTGGATTATCTGCCAAGCAGCTGGGGCTCGGTGAGAACGCCTGCCTGCAGGCAGGGCAGGCTCAGGGCTCACAGGGTTTAGGGTCAGGTCCAGACAGGTCCAGAAGGTTTGGATTTATATTTTAGATGGGAGTTTCCGAAAATAGGGGGCCCTAATATAGTACCCTAATTAGTAGGATCCTGATTATAAGGACCCCCAAATAATGGCGGAAACTCCCACATAGGGCCTTGGAACTGGGACTTTGAAGCTGTCCCTGCGCCTCATTGCCCAGTCCCTCGCATGACACCAAACACCAAACGCACCAACGACAAGGATGGTGAACAAGAAGCCGAAAGAGAGTGGCAATAGTAATCACAACAGAAGCCAGGCTGATAGGAACCTGCCCAAACCACATGTACCACAAAGCCACACCATTGGCCACTGGCAGGATTCGCGGTGTTCACTGTGCGAGTGATATGGAGTGTCGCAACACCCATCGAAATATGTATCTGAGCATGCAAAAATACCTACTTACATGTACCCACACATGCATACATACTTGCATAACATCTCCTCAACTTCTCCGTTTCTGCAACTACCTCTCTACTGAGAGCAAGAAGCCTGGGCCCGCTTATCAACCTCAACCCTCACCCAATCGCTCCAAATCTATTCTATGGTATAGAATCTATACAACAATAGAATTACATTATATTACGATTTGTCATATAGCTAAAGTGCTTGGGTCTAGGATGGTACTAAGAAGGGGTGCATGAATGCGTGTTACTACTTAAGTCAAAGCATTAACATGCATTAACGTACACCTTCTTGGTACCATCCTAGACGTTGACCAGTATATGATATGTACATGCGGGCATTACCCCCTAAACCCTAAACCCTATACCCTGCGAGCCCAGAGGTCATGTTCTCGTCGCCCAGCGCGGCTCCCGCCGCATCCCTAGCAGGACAAAAGGCCTTCAGTTGTCTCGTGATCCACCTTGAGGCTAAGGTTCAGGGCACCTGAGTACGTCTATCCGATCTATCCATGTCGTTGACGCCTCAACCCTGATCTGTTGATGCCAGAACCACAGAAAGTTTCATCTCCGGTTTCCTGGCAATGAACCTGCCAATGAATCTCTTCCCAAGACGGAAAGACTGAGGCAGACAGCCCGGCTGCTGCAGGCCTTGCGACAAGGTTTACTGCGTTTTCACCCAGCCTTTCAGAACTAATAGTTCCCAAAGCCACGAACTACATCCTAAACCCTCAACTCTAAATCCAACGAGCCCTAGACCTAAAGCCTGGTCGTAATGTTCAACCAGACTAATTTTCGGGGGTTTGCAAGGTTCAGGATTCGGGGTTTAGGAGATGAACATGTCATATCCATTCACAAGACCTTCTCCCTGAACCTAATCCGGAAAGTTCGGCACAGACTCGGTGAAGCCTTTGGGATTGCAATTCCACTGGAGCATGTGGCGTCCCTCACCATATAATGCAGGCGGCCCAACCAATATTCTTCCGAAGGTATCAACTTACCTCCATGAACCCCAAAAGCTTCTTCTCATTATCAAGGCCCCTATCTTAGCCTTGCCTTGTCAGTTCCGATGTTCAGGGACGAATGAGTGGGGCACCAGACGGGACTATTGAACACCGCCTGGGAAAACCATGGGTATCCCCTGGGTATCTTTTCCAGCGCCCTACACCTCTCCCTAATCTTCCCCTTGATGGGTTGCATACTGTTAAGACTTCACAAAGCATAGCAGCCTGCCAGTCACGCCTCCGGCAGCAGAGGGGCTAATTGCCTGCCCCCCAGGAAGCTTCCTGTGCCTAGAAAGTCCAGGTTCCTTGAACCGATATGCACAGTCATTCTTTCATAGGGGGCCAAAGGGGGTTTAGCCTATGGGGGGTTAGTAGGAATTAGGGTTCCCATACTAATAGGGTTCATATTAAGGAATCCATACCCCAAGAATCTTAAACCCCCTTTTGGCCCCCCATCAATTCTTGCATGTCTAATAGACTCCGACGGAACACAATACACACGTCTGTCTGCATGCCTGCCTGCCTATCCTTGTGTCTGCTTGCAGTTGTATGTGTGCCCCTTTGCCTATGTATGCATGTGTGCTAAGCATGCCCCTGTTTCTATATACTTTCTTTGCATGTGAAAAACGAGCATTTAAGACAGATGCCCACGTACCTGCAGTCAATCGACTTAAGTACCAAGGCAAGGATCGTTAAAAATCTCTTGCCAGCTTCAAGGCGGAAACTGTCACGTGTACGGAGTAAAAGAAAGCCGTGACTGGAGGAATTCACGACAGGGTCTTTACCCTTTACCTCTCGCAATCTGAGTCAGTAGTTCGGGGGGTGCTTCCATTTGTTATTCGAGCCGCCTTGCTTAAAAACTTCGTCGAAGCACTCATGAACCTCCGAGTGTCGAAGGTGCTCCAGGAAGAGGCAATTTGCTGCAATATAGGGGCCTTAATGATTACCTATACTATTTTGCGGGGTTCCTTATTGTAACTTCAGTATAATATACTATTAAACCCTATTCTAATTATGAAGGCCCCTGTATTATGTTTTCCAAGTGGTAGAGCTGCATGGTGCCCAATAAGATACGGCCTTTGCCTTTGATCATCCCCCTTGCATTCCACCCCCCTCCTCCACCCCCCTGTCGCCGCCTTAGCATGTGGAGGCGAAGGCTAAAGCTAAACAGATTTGAGTGCTGGTTGGTCGAGGCTGACTTCGAGTGCCCGTGCAGCAGTGAACCTTGCAACCCAAACTCCTCGCACTATACGCACTGGAGCCTCCGGCGCATGCCCAACATAGTCATAAGGTGCGGCTTCAGGGCACCGTCGGCGGTCGCACCTGTTCGCACATGATCGAGGTGTTGCTAAGCATGTGTGTTCTTGAGGTGTTGGGGTCAAGGTTTGGAAATGAAAGATGCAGAGTTTAGTGCTTCGAGGTTGGGAGTTTCGGTTTAGAATTCATGCTGCGGGGAGAGGACTGAATATTCAGCACCTGGACTTTGTTCGTCTGCTTCTCCAGACTGGAATTTCGGGATTAGCCAATGCCGCCCGAAAAAGGGCCCCTAATATCAGGGACCCAAAAAGCACATAAGCATATGCATCTTATAGGGATATCCCTACCTTATTGGGCTTCATTATAAGAGGGTTTAGGGTTTAGGGCCCTATAATAGTCGTGCTTTCAGACTCAACTCTGCCCTCGTCAAGCCTCCCGTCAAGGTTCATGTTATGCGAGGCTTAGCGCCGTCTGAGAAATGAAGCTTACGGATCAAGCAAAGCTCATCTCATGCCTCACAGCAATCACTCAAGCTAGTAGCAGCTAGGGAGAAAATGATGAATTTCGCAGAGTGCGGCTTCTTTACCCCAAAGGTTTGCCATGGTACAGCCTCCCAAACTCTCTAAACCCCAAGCCGTACAGACCAAGGAACTCGAGGTTTGCCCTGTCTTTCAGTTTTCCGTTGATCATCGGCTCGTAGAGAAGCCTTATACGCCTGTGAAGTCTCAAGGCTCACACAGTTTTCTTTTGCAGTGCGATGACCCGGACTTGGAAGTCTTGGAGCTAGATGCCCAGTGGCTGGCACAATACCCTAACTCCTAAGACCCTAAAGCCCTTAGACTGAGAGGATTGGCATGGCCCCATGATCGAGAACTGTGTCGGAGAAGTTCTCCAAAGCATGGAAAAAAGTCCTAAACCGTCGAAGTGCTCAGGGGCCTCAAAGAGGTCGTATGAAGGGAGATACGGTTGAGGATATATGTCCTGCATTTCCCATAATAAGGAATATCCCATAATTCCCATAGTTTAGGGTCTTTAAGGTAATGCAGGATTTATATCATCAACAGTAGGACTCAGGATCCCTTGCACAAGGGACCCTTATCTGGGATTGCCTCAGCGACCCTCATCCCACCCTTAAGCTCCTTTTCACTCCAGGGAGGTAGGGCTGGGGGTGTAGGGTTAGTCTGTTAGGGTTTAGAGGTACGGGTTTAGTTGGGGTTTACGGTGTGGAAGCCTCTTTACTTCTGGAGCTTCCGAGCTCTGATCCCTTCAGGAGCTGACGACGGCCTCCTCGGTCTTAGACTTGGAAGGCCCTCTGAGTTTGTAAGCCAGAGCGGAAGATTGCGGTTGGGTAGTATAGGAATGAGAACTGTAGCGAAGCTACTATCTTTGCGAAGTTCAGAGGAGTTGCGACGAACGGTAAGAATAAATGGAGTTTGGGATTCGGAGTTGTGTGTTTCGGTGCTGCTGGCTTCTCTGTGCGGCCGAAGTCCTGCAAGTCAACATACAGTGCGGTCCCAGAGTTGTTTCACTATGAAAAACAGCTACGACACCGCGACCACCACCAACAGTTGCAACAAGAACAGCAACTGCGAAGGTGACAGCGGCTACCGAGACTGCTAGCTTCCTACGAGTTACAACTACCGCCACCAGTATCACGGCATCACCAATCAACTATAGCAGCAGAGCGAGAATTGAACCGCAACTACAAGAACGAATCGGAGTATGTTGCCATTGCGAACATCTAAATTTAAACGTCTCGGAAAGGCGTTGGAGGAAATGCTCAACACTAGCAATCCTAAGACTAGCAACGCTTCCAACCGCTCTGTGCTCGAATCTGGCCTGTGTAGAGGCCTGGCCCTGGGCGCGTTCGAGCCAGGCACGCAGTAGATGCAAATGCTAGGGTTTAGCGTTTAGGGTGTGGGATTTAGAGTTTAGCGTGTGGGGTTTAGAGTTTGGGGTTGAGGGTTTAGGGTGAGGCGAGCATGGACTTTGTAAGTGTCGTTGCATTTGGGTTCGTTGGTTGCATGCTTCTTTTTGGTCTCGATAAGCCCATGCCGTCGCCAGCTGCATGTGAGGATGTGAGGCTTCAAGCCTCTGCAAAGAAGTTTGAACAAGAAGGCCTAAACCCTACTCTCTCCTAAGCCCTTACAGCCCTAAACCTTCCAAATCCATAAACCAACCCTACACCTCTAAGCCCTTGAACCCCCAAGCCCAAAACCCCCAACCCCTAAACACTGCGCCCCCTAAACCCCTAAAGTCTGCAAGCCCTGCTTAAAGGCTCATGGGACTTAGTAAGTAAGGTTATAAGTCGGCTATAATTAGGATAACCCCACTTAGGGGACTTATAACCCCAACCAGAACCTATTTACTCAGTCGCATGATCCTTTAAGTGGCAGGACCCGAGATGAAACCCCGCCTCTTCTTCATGGGCCGTGAGCTCAAGGCGTCAGGGGACTCTAAACCGGGGTGTTGGGTTTAGGGTTTAGAGTTTAACGTTTCGGGTATGTCCCAGTACGAGGGCTTGGGATGTTTCCATGTGAGCTACGAACCTCTTTCGTCAAGGTTTCTTTGTTGAGACTACACCAGGTTGTTGGTTCCCTAGGTAGGGTTTAGTGTTTTGCTGGCTGATTGAATCAAGAGATGACAGAAGTCATTTGGGCCTGGATGCTTTGTTCTGGATTTGGGGCATCGGGCTTGGAGTTGTAAAGTTTTAGGTTTAGGTTCGGTGTGTTTGTGATTGGTTTGTCGGTGTGTGTGTGTGTGAGTGTGTTTGTCTGTGTATTTCGTGAGTAGAGTAATTCCTGTACTGTGTGTGTGTGTGTGTACGTGTGTGTAGTGCGCGCATAGGGTTTAGGTCCTTACGCTTAGTAGCTGTGATGGCATATAGGCTCATAGCGCAGCAAGTCCCTTCCATCTGCTCCTCTTCAACCTTCGAGTGGGGCTTTGGAGTTACTGCGGATTCTTGCCACGAGGCCTCTCGGCCCCGAAGCTCAACCTTCTATATAGGGAGGACCTGCTTTTGAAGTCTATTTTTGAAGCCAGGTTCGAAACCTACGTGAACGAAGGTCGCTGTTATCAGCCAGCTGCATTCTCCGGGCCGTCCGATCCTCCAATCTGAACTTGAACTTAGAACCCCGGGAGTGTTGAACCTAAGCGCTCGATCCAACGACCGTGCAGCCAGGAGGCGGAGACATTTCTGGGCCATGTTGGCCTGAAGACGAAATCGACGGCAACCGTCCAGGCGAACTGCACCCTGTTGTGTTTGCGTTGGTAGAACTCGCTCGGTCATGCAAATCGCAAGTTCATGTAGGGTTCTAGTTCCGATGAACAAAATCAACATGTCTAACATAGGCCTCACTGTAGAACCACCTTTTCTTTGCGAATCATGTCCGCATATGTCAGCAGGAGAAGCTGCAAGTCAGCATCAGCCAGACGTAAGTCGTCACTTTCTGCATGGGAGTGAAGCTAACTTCCGACGTCCTTGATCTGTGATCACCTGGATTATGCATGCAGAAGCCATACATGGTAATTCCTAGCCCTAGCATGTCTTTGTCCTGCTATTAGCACATCTTAGCACCCACTCCCTGAGGCCCAATGTAGTAGTGCAAAACCACATCACACCATAGTCGTCCTCCCTCCTCTCCCTCCTCCCTCCTCCCGCCCAAGGCCACGTATAAACCTCTACATCCCGAAACCCCAAAGACTCCCCAACCGCTCCGAGCTTTTAAGCCTTCAGCCCTAAACCATAGACACTATTCTCTCAAACCTTATAATCCCCAAGCACGAAGCCTGTAACCTGAGTGTTCGGAGCTTTGGGTTTGTGTGGGGATTCAGGTGATGTTTGCTGCTGGCGAGCCACGTGCAGTGGCCAAGGCATTGCGAAAGAGCGAACACAAACGTCCCAAGAGCCCCGACTCGGACGGCTTTTGAGGGTTTGCTAAGTTTTCGATTTAGGGAGTTGAGTTAAGGTTTAGGTGTTCAGGGGTGTTAGGATTTAGATGTTCGGCGGTTTTGGGCTCTTGGGTTCCTGCCAGCGCACAGCCTGCTACATGGCACACCCAAACCCGAAGATCTAAACGAATACGGCAAAGTGGAAAAGTTCTCGACAGTGGGTTTGTTTGAGCTTAGTTCCCAAGTTTCTGCCGTCAAGGCTCGGAGCTGTCTGATTCCTCAGTGTCTGCGACCTATTGAGTTGCAGCAAAACGGACATCCGTGGCTCCATTCAGGTTTCAGCGTGCGTTTCGAGCGAAAGAGTCAGGGATTGTGAGTCAGGGTTGAAACGGCTCTACAGCTCAGGGAATTGGGTGGTTCTGGAGCTACGATGTCTCGGCTTGAGAGCATTCGAATGACAGAGTTCAAGTTTCCAACCCGAGGCTCAAGGCTGTCGAGGTTTCGAACAGGGAGAAGGGGAATGAAACTGACGCGTCGCGTGGGCTGGGCGGGTTCTTAAAACCGCCCTAGTCAAGTCCGTAGACCTAAACCCTAAAGCCCATAATTTCCTAAACTTGAGCTTCAAACATGTACAGGCGCCCGCGGCGCAAAAGCCGCCTGCCGCAGAGGCTTCCGAGACAGCACAGGCACAGTCGTAGAGGCTTTAAAGGGTTGCCTTCAGGGTGTTACACTGCTTGTTAGGCTGCCTTGCAGGTGCCAAAACGTTTCTACGGGGTCTCTCGAAGGCTTGGTTTCCTGAGTTTTATATGTTTGCTATTCGAGTTCTGTATCCCTGTAGCTTGGTCTACGAGGTTTTCGAGTTTTGCACATCGGGCCGGCTTCGAAGGGTGCAGGTTAAATAGGTCTGAGCATATCTCAATTCGGCGGTGTTGGGCTTCTGAAGCAGCAGTGTTGTCATCTTCCATACTGATTGTACGTGTGCTTCTGGGTACCCGGATTATTTGCACTCTGCCACGTTTGCTCACCTGGGCCTTGATCACAAGCCCTGGAGCAGTTTTACGTACAATGCTCTACACACATACATATGTCCATATACCAACATGTAAACAGATAGATAGACATAGCTTCATGGCGAGGTAGGTAGGTAGGTAGGTAGGTATATAGATAGGTAGACATAGGTAGACAGATAGATAGTGCGAGGCTCTAAACGTCAGATCCATGAAGCCATCGCCGGTGAACGTATTCGGGCCCTGTAAAAGTCCTCCTGCACGACCGTATGCCTGTGTAGCGGTCTGCAAGGTTGTTTTGCGGGTCAGTATTACTAGTAAGTACTCATGATTACTAATGCTTAGACTTTCCTAGCATAGTGGTGCGATGGTTCTTATTGCTGTATATCCAAACCGATAAGGTTGCTCAATATTAGCATCCACAGCGGCCAGGGTGAGCCGTCGACCTCGGCTCCACCACCGACAAGCCGGCACCCTGGCCTTTGCGAGCTCTGAAACTCAATAATGGAGAGCGAGGTGTCATTTGAAATGGGTGCTGGCGGAAGGGTGGTGTGGAGTTGGGGGGGGGAGTTGTGGTACCTTCTTTACTTATGTTTAGGATCTTGGAGCTTAGCGTTATTCCCAGATTCATGACTTCTTCAAACTGCTGAATTTCACAGTCGATCTACCTATCTCTAGGTCTATAGGTATATATGTTACCTGCCTACATACATACATACATATACACACACATACACATATACATACCTACATGTGTATATATGTATACATATATGTATACACATGCATGTGTAATTTGTATGCACGTGTATACTCCATCCCAGGCTACTTCAGCGATGCACAGTACAAATTGAATACTTTGTAAAAGAAGGCTAGTTCGCGCGATACAACATGAGGTCGTGCTTGGGTACTCGATCATGTCAGCAGCCTCCTAGGATCTCCTAGACATAAGCTTAAATAAGCACGGGCCGTCAGAACAGGCTTCTGCTTGACCATTTGAGGCGGGAATCGAATGGTTTGGGTCCAAGGAAGGAGAAGGATTCATACTCACAGGCTGCATCGCAGACTCCTTGTCGACAGCTCTGTGTAATGGTTTCGGACCTGGAGCTGACGGTGGTAGTCACATGACAGCATAATTTGGTGCTTGTTCGAAAGCATGCCTACGAAACCCAGCAGAGAATACTTTCAGGATTTTTGGGTGGGAGGGTTAGGGAGTGACAGCAGTACCTGGTAAGCTGGAATCTCTTGCTGCTGTTGTACCATCGCATATACCGGTCTCGTTTTCTCGAGTTCAACCTCGATTTCGGTTTTCGGACGACAGGATGGGAGTGGATTCCGGTTCGTAAGCAAGAATCCAACTCAGCCCATTGTCGCAAGTTGGGCGTCTGTTGCTTTGATGCATGTTGGTTCAAGCCTACCGTGTGTGGTGAGTTTGCTGATCCTGAAACGGAGAGAGGACGCAGTGTGGATGCAGACAGGTAGAGCCACCGACAGCATGTACGTGCATACATTGACACATCTTACTATATCACCACATACGGCCAACGAAGACATTGCATGTAAACAAAGACATTCGGAAGCTGAGCGAAACCGGGAAGCTGAGCGAAACAGGGAAGGTTTAAGACTAAAGTCCTATAGAAGCACCTGAGTTCCTCTTGTGCACTACATCTCTTGTGCTGTGATTAATTGCAGGCCCCTAATTAATGTGTTAATAAGTGCAATCAAGGCGGCTGGTTGCCGGGTTTGCGGCGGGTCGAAGGACCACTATTGCAAGAGCTACATAAACAGGTGTCGGGGGTTCAGCATGCGCTTCGCAGCATGGCCGATACTGGGCCTGGCCATCGGATTCGCGCCATGCGCTGGCCAAAGCGAAGTCTCCGTGACTCGGTCCAAGTCGCCTAGAACGGTGTTGAGCTGCGACGGATATCTGGGAAGCATACTGTCCCCCTCCACACAAAAAAAACATGCGTTAGCGGTTGTCTGCTGTGTCGGGTTTGGGGTTTTGCGGCCTCATGCCTTGTTGCTTGGGTTGAGGGTTGTGATGCTTAAATACTCATCAAGCGATTATTTCTCTGTATCTGGATGACTGCTTCACATCTACGATCACTCCTATGTTTGTTGGTATGATGTCGTTCTTCCGGTTGCAGTTGTGCAGGTCTTGTATCGGTTCCGGTTACGGGAAGGTGTTTGGTGCTCAACAAAGTTCTAGCCTTCGGCCCGGCTTCCACAGTCAGGTTCAGAGTGCAGGCACACGAACAGCTTCTGGTTTGAACTGGGAGGCTCTTGCTGAGCAGTGAACAGCAAACTCAGCGGGGCCGTGCATCTCAGCCTCCGAAGGAGGTCGTCGGGTAGGAACTTCGACCCGCCCGGGGATGTATCAGGTAAGCCATGAAATCGCCGATCTCGGGGCCTTGCCGCTACAGGTCATCGTGAGCCAGGATGTCTTTGAAAAGCGTTTCCGAGGACGGTCGGGACTACATCTATGGTTTGCAGCCTTGTGGCGAGCTTTTGCACAGGGTTTAGCATGTCGGAGTTTCAGACGATGAAGGAACTCCTAGTCTATCAGAGAGCCCTCATGATCTCTAGAGCATTCGCAGGCAGGTTCGTATAAGACTCTTTAAAAGCCCGCACATCCCTGCGAGGACATGCCTTTGGCCACTGGAAGGACTTTGTCGTAGCAGCTGGCGAGCAGAACAACCCAGGTACCTCGAATACTTGCTGATGTCTGGGACGTCGAAGATTTGGAGGTTAAGAGCTTAGGGTTGCAAAAACCCCAATCTGGAATCTGAATGACAATTTCGCAGACAGCACATCCCATCCTGCAACGGCACACTGTGGAACGCCTACCTGGCAGTCGCTCATTACTGTCAAGAGTGGGACCATGCACACCAGCGCCTATCACAGACTCTTTCAGACAGAGCCTAGCGACATAGGTAATGTAACTTTCCATGCTGTGGGGCACCCTGAATCCACAAGCAGCCCCGTTAAAACCACAAGACCCACAAGCCCCCAAGCCAAAACGCTCAAGCCACAACCTGGGAGTTTCCGAAAACGAGGGGCACCCCCTCTCAAAATCCTTATAATAAGGGTCCTACCCCTTAGGGTACTATATTAGGGTCCCCTATTTCTGAAGCTCTCAACCTTAACACCCACAACATCTGGCACAGCAGCTCCGACCTGAGAACCTGTAGCTCACATGGTGCCGGCAAAAAGGATAAATGGTTCTTGGAGGATCATTGGACTTAGTAAGTAGGGTTGTAAGTACTTTAATTGGGGTTAGAAGCAATTATAACTGTAGTTGCCTTACTTAAAACCCCAATTACTACGTCCCATGATCCTTTAAGTAAAGGGTTCAACTCCTTCATTTCTACAAGGTTGTTCGACTCCCACCTCAAACTTCCAGACCATAAGCTCCGAAGCTCGATACCCTGAAAGCCGCAATCCCACGTATTCCTACGTTCCCACACGTAGCCCTACCCTCAAAGTCCTCAACCTCAAACCCCAAATCGTAAAGCCCAAACCCTGTAAAGCCAGGAATCCTAAAACCCCACAACCTCTAAACCCCTGAAGCCCTGAATCCCGAAGACCCCAATATACCCCAACCTGCTACAATCCCCAACCCTGACTCCTAAACCCCGAACACAAAATCATGGATCCTAGGCTCAATCCCATCAAGCCTAAGCCACTGGAACCCAAATGGGTTTAGATCACTTGGCTGCCTTAGCTCTGCAAACCCTAACCCTCAACCCTGCAACCCTAAGCCATGATCCCCAAACCGGAAAACCCTAAAGACGCTAAACCCGGGACTTTACAACTCCCTACAAGTAAACCTTAAAGCCCAAAAGCCCTAAACCGTTGTAGGAAACATTGACAGGAGCCTTAAAGCCCCTAAATGGGGGTTTCCGAAAATAGGGGACCCTCATATAGCACCCTAAATAGTAGGAGCCTTATTAGAAGGACCCCCAAAATAAGGTACCCCTAATTTTCGGAAACTCGAAACCCTAAGCCCTTTATAGAACCCTTACAGATCCCTTTAAGGAACCTTTAAATAGGGTACCCCAATTTTCGGAAACGCCCATCTGGGGGATCAAAACCCCTAAACCCTAACCCCTAAACCCTCAACCCTAAACCCTGTAGACCCTAAATCCCTAAAGCCCTAAACCCTCAACCCTTTATCAAAAGAAAGCCTGCGGCCTTTCTCGCCTCGGCTCAGCCGAGGTGGCGAAGCCCGGCTGAAGGCAGGGACAATATTTAGGTTTTGGGTTTAATTAGGGGTACCCTAGGGTTCCTTTAAAGGGTTCCTTAAAGGGATCTAGAAGGGTTCTATAAAGGGTTTAGGGTTGGGAGAGTTTCCGAAAATAGAGTGCCTTATTTTGGTGTCTTTCTAATAAGGATCCTACTATTTAGGGTACTATGCTAGGGTCCCCTATTTTCGGAAACTCCGATATTTAGGTTTTGGAGTTTCAGGGCTTAGGATGTTGGATTTAGGGTTTTGGGGTTTCGGGTTCAGGACTTTAGGGTTTTAGGGATTTAGGGGTTTAGGGGTTTAGGGTTTTCTTGCTCTTTAAATAACCGCATGCTGCAAGGTTTGAGGGCTATACAAGGTCGTCTAAGGCCATGGATTTCAATCAGTTGATGTGAGCTTTATACGGGCTTTTCTATTGGTGGTTTAAGGGCTCTTCAGGGTTGCTTGGAGAAATATACATGCAGGTTTTTCGAGTTAGATATAATGAACGGCGTTCGGGCTTTAGCTCTGAGCCTAGGTTTCGGCAGTATGATGGTTTATGACTCACTGTTCGAGGTGCTGGTTTTGCTTTATCAACTTTCCAAACCTCCGTCTAGAGCCGACGTGTCAGGCTGGGTTCACCCTGCTTTTCGCAGCCATTGCCACAGTGACCGTGGGCACTGTGATTGGCTACGTGATCAGCTCTGAGGCGCATCCGTTCAGGGATCGACTCCATTGTTGGTAGTCTTCGTTCCATCATGCGATGTTCATAAGCTGTGAAACCGGCTGACATCTATGTACTTGAGTATGTGTGTGTATGTGTGGACATGCATTTAAAATTTGTACTTTTAGGTACCTTTAAATTAGCTACTTGCACGGTCTTGTCGCATTTCGGTGCGCTTACACCTATACATTCATGTATACATGCAGACACTGTGTGCAAAGCTAGCATTTGTGCATTCACATATGTATCTGTGCATTTGTCCGCGCGTATGTACATATGTGTGTATGTATGTATGTATGCATGCATGATGAGGTTTCCACGAGCAACGGTCAACCGTCGGCAGTTTGTCGGAAAGTCGAACAGACTTCCCATTGCTTCATCGCCCCTCAGACAGAATCAAACCTTGAGCTGCAAGACCTGAGCCCCCGAATTCCATTAGCATCTCGGTTTGATTATCCCTTTACTGGAGTCTCCACCGAGCATGCAGCCAGCAGGCCAATCCTTGATAAACCTGCAGCTTCAAATCTTGAAAGCCCCCAAAGTCCTAACATCTCAGATCTGTAGCCTTACGGCCACACCTGGAGGTGGCAACCCCCTACACTGCGTGGGTGGTGGTCTTCATCCTCTTCGCCTATGATGCTTGGTCCGACTTGGTGCTGCCAGATTGCTTCAGTCCCTGGTTAGCTTCAGCGCCACACGAATGCAGAGGTGATGTTTATAGATCTTGCCAGGACGACCCCTTTTACACGTTCACGCGATCAGATAAGCTACTGCAGGTTTCGGGTTCAATCGCACTTGCGGAGTTGGGATTCCGGGATCAGTGTCACGTGGAGGGGCAGGGCACTTAGTAAATAGGTCATATGTAGAGTTATACATACCCTAATTAAATGGAGCATACCCCAATTTAAACCTACTTATGAACGACTTACTAAGTCCCCTGCCCCTCCAATTAGTCTTGAGACTCAAGACGTGAAACAGAGCTGCCGCAGTCCGAATCGCCTGGTGCATGTTGGCAGTTTGGGTGCCTGTTGTGTCTGGGCTGTGGCTGAAGGAAGGTGCAGAGATCTACACATCATGACCATCTTCGCACGAAAACGGATTTCTTTTTGTGAGGTTTCAGCTTTCCACGTCGACTCTGAGGCTGGTGCCGTGTTCGGCTACTGCTTTCTGACCTACGAAGATCCGGCACAGAGAGTCGTGACGAACCTTCTGTGACCCGGCGCACTTGAGCCTCAACAGGCTTAAGGACCGAGTGTGGTGGCGTAGAGCCTCAACCCCGAACCGTAACCACCCAGACTTCTCAACCCTTTCGATCCCTTTCGTGGATTGATGGTTTGAAGCTTCTTCAGTGTTTTCAGCCGCGGGTGAAGGCATGCAGTGTTGTAGCGGTCGCCGCAGTCGTCGTCGTCGCCGTTGTAATAGTATAGTAGTAGTAGCGCTAGTAGTTGTTGTTGTAGTAGCAGTAGCAGTAGCAGTAGCAGTAGCAGTAGCAGTAGCAGTAGCAGTAGCAGTAGCAGTAGTAGTAGTAGTTGTAGTTGTAGTAGTCGTAGTAGTAGTAGTAGTAGTAGTAGTAGTAGTAGTAGTAGTAGTAGTAGTAGTAGTAGTAGTAGTAGTCGTTGTAGCCGGACAAGGCGTAGGAGTAGGAGGTGGCGGAGGCTTAGGCATGGGCATTGATGTTAGCGTAGGCATGGGCAAAGGGGCATAGAACAGAAGCAGAACAGGTGTACGAGTCGTAGAGTCGTAGAAGTAGAAGCAGCAGCATCAGCATCAGCAGCAAGGCCGGGTGGTGCTCAGATGTCGACATTGAATCTTCAAGCGATTGCTTGGTTTGATGGTGTACAGTTTGTATCTGTGTAGTCTAGCAAACGCAATAACTCGTCAGTTTTCCTCTGTTAGAGTATATTAGGCTGTCGATGTAGTCGTAGTTTCATTCAGAACCATGCAGACATAAGGGAAGGGTGAAAGGCAATAACGTCACTCATGTCGTATCCTTCTTCTAGGTCATCACCAGCAACTGCAGTAGAGGCGTCACGTACTTTGGAAGTTTAGATGCCTACAACTGTCTAGAATGTTCATGGCATCCCCCCTACCGTCCCTTTTATAACCATGCCCTGATATACCCCAGAACCCTATTCCCCCCTCTATAACTATACCCGACTATATATCCCCCCAGAGCCCTAATTCCTCCAAGTCTCCGACCTGCCAGGTTTGGCCTCGTGCCCTGGACCGTGAGCTGCGCCTGCTACCTGCTGGCCATGATCTTCGTCGACCTGAGAAGGTGGGAGACCAAGGACCTCTAATGTAGGGGGCCTTAAGAATTAGAGTAGGGTTCCCTTTCAAGGGCTCTACAGCTGGCCATGATATTCGTCAACCTGAAACGGTGGGATCCCAAAGTTTTGTGATGTCGAGGGTCTTTAAAAAATGTTGTTTAGAATAGGGTTCCCTTTAAAGGGCTCTCAAAAAGGGATACGATAGCAAGGGGTCTATAATGTAGGGGCCTTCGTATGTAGAATAGGATTTTGGGGCCCATTTTGCTATAATCATTGTAATAAGGAGCCCCCGAAATAGTACTGGTAATTATCTATGTCCTATGCCCCTACATTATCCTCCACCCTGTCTTCATTCCATGGTATTCCGATGTTGCAGTCTTCTAAAAGTGCCTTGCGCGAGCTTCTTGGAAAGTGCGCAGAGGTTTATGGGAAAGCGCTTCTTAATCATACAAGAGCCAAATCTTACGTCGGCCATGCCGTTCCGGGTCCAGAGAAGCTTGCATACTGCAGTGCAGCTGGTGCGCATTGATCGCAGCTTCGTGCACTTGCGACAGCTGTATTTGTAAGTGTCCTTTTGTGTGCAAACATCATGCTTCTACCGATTCATCCGTAGTTGGTGGATTAAAGAGTGATGCATGGTTTCAGTGGGTATCAGATGCCGCTCGATCTTCCGACAATGGCTGATCTCAAACAGTTGGTTCTTCTTTCTCCTTTGCGTTTGCGTGTTCTCTGGATTATGACGTAGCGGCTGTTGGATGCCCTCAGAAAGAGGAAAGGAAGCCAAGTGTGTCGCCTGAGTCCACAGGAAGGTTTCCTCTGCGGATCGAGGACAGAAGATTCCGTCACGCGCTTTGCCGCATCGGAACGCGTTTCTACCCTACAACGGTCTCGTATGGTCTGGTTGCAGTTTTGGTCTGTGCACGTGCACCGGGCTTGTCGCGGCACCAATGTAAGATTTTGCGCTGGAAGGAATTAGAAACTTTATTCCGTTTAAGAAACCCTATCTTCGATGCAAAATGTGTGCTTGTACTAAGGTCGTGCTTTGCGCACGCTTCTTGGGGAACGCGCTTCTACGCGCAAACACGCTTCTAAAACCGACGCGGAGGTGGGACCGACAAAAAATAACAAAGAAACACAACGCGAATTGCTATTGGCGCTCGCTGCTCGGGAACGCCCTTGTTGCGAATGAGCTTCTCGGCAACGCGTTTCTTAGACCAATTATAACTGACACAGTAGCTCTTCGGGCTCCACTTGTTGGGTCCTCAGAGTAGGCGCGCAATGAACGCAGTGTTGGATTTCGCCGGCTTTAACGACAGATGCTACCACCGGCTGTTCCTACTTTTTGTCAGTCACTCCTGGTGAGGGGCACGACTGTATGATGACAGGTGGGACGGGCACGTATCTAATTCTGATCCAACGCCGAAGCGAATAGCTTCTCGAGCTTTGGGGATTTTATCATGGCATGTTAGCAAGTGGCTCCTGGCGAATACTTTCCATATATGGCTTTCGTTGGGACAACGTGATCCTGACGGACTACAAGCTTGATGGAAATGAAAGAAAGCGCTTGCTGTACTTGAAGTGTGCTGTGCATTATCAAGCTTTCACGATGATCTACCCTATCCAACATCGTGTGTTACAATGTGTAGAGTCCCGGTTAGCTATGAAACGTGGGGCGTGTCCCATTAGAAGTCTCCCACAAGGAGCTGGCAATTGTCGGCAGTTTCAGCCTTCAACGCGGCAGATCATCAGCGTTCCTCCACCATCTTGGGCTGCTGCATGTGCAGAGAACACTGAGAGAAACCTTTGGTAGAGGGCTTCAGGGCTTCTCGGAAAAACTGTCTTTCGCTCACCCATTTATGATATATCTAGCTCTAGAAAAGATACATAGCTGGACTTGTATATGCATAATATGTAGATACAGATGTATGCATTACAGTACAGTACATTACATTACACATACATATGCACATATATGCGTGTGTATTGAAACTGTGCTTGCTTGTGTTGTTTGTGCATATGTGTTACTACATCCACATTTTCAGTCATATTTACACTCATCTGTTTTGCACTTACAGCTCATATTCGTTACTACATACTTATTTACATGTTTGATACACCGCTTCAACAAGGCAATTCCGGGAGCCTCTGCCACAGACTGAGACGGAGGCGAGATATGGGAAAGCTGCAGTGTCAAAGTCCGTATGTGCAGAGGAACGCGCTGCCATTCAGTGGTTGGCAGGTCTTATACAAGGATCGTTATACTTTGTAAGACATAAGCGGAGTCCCAAAACACCGTCAGTGATCCTTGTGCTCTCTAGCTTCTCCGCTGTCTGTTCGACTCACAACTGGAGTGCTTTCAGGGTGTACTAGTGAAGCATGGGAAACTGTTTGGATTTCCGGCTTTAGATGTGCACCGGCTATTCCTGGCTACACTCTGAAGCCTAAGCTCGGTAGAATCAAAAGAGTTTCGGGGTTCAGGGTTCAATTTCAGTTTCAGTACAAGTTTCATCCATGCACACCAACTTGTTACTTTCAAGCCTTATAGTTGTCAGGCGAACCAGCGCGCACACGACAACCTGAGCTGGATCACAGGAGGCAGCGGGTTGCTGTCAAGGTCCTGGGTATTCTGTTTTGGGGTTTTAGGGTCTGAGAGGTTGAGGGTTTTGAGTTTTAGGATTCAAGGAGACTCTGGGAGACTAGTGTACCCCCTGAAGACCTAGCTCTTCACGTATGTGGATTCGGTTCGGCGCACCCACGCTAAGGTCTGAAAAAGGAGAACTTTTCAGCCGCATGGCCACGAAACTCCAAACGCAGACTCAAACGGTTCTCCGCTATCTATGGCCTTTATAGCACGTCTCATAGCAATCCCTTGTAGTAAACCCCTATACAAGCCCCTTTGTAATCCCTTTGTAATCCTTGTAATTAAAATCCTTGCTTTCGCAGGACGGCCTTCGCGCATCACCGAATCAGCTGAGGAATTGCAGGCAGACTGTTCAGGTGTTGGTGTTGGTGTGTGTGTGTGTGTGTGCAAAGACATATAAAATTTAAATACATACGTATGTATGACTGCCTTTATATAATAGGTATGTATGTAATTAAACATACAGTTTTGTATGTAGGTATGCACATAAGTATGTATGTATGTATGTATGTACGTATGTACGTATGTATCGGTTTAACACCCCTACTCCATTGAGGGTTTCAGGATGCCCAACAATACTCAGCTCCGGAAAGCCGCTTGCACGCTTTCAGACAGTTGGACAGCTAAGTTCATGCGAGGCCAAAGCAGACACGACACGTCTCACCAAACCGGTGACACAACCCCGCGTAGGCCAAGTCTGCTAAACTTAAGACATGCGCGAAAAAACCTTGCCCTACACCCCATCAGCGAACCTGAAGGCGGGCCTGCCCGAAAACCCTGAGTCCTGCATCCCAAAGCGACAAAGCCGGCTTAGACAAATCACGACAAGTACAGCCTCTTCTCCATACCTCGCGGCACGGGTTTAACTTGGAACTGCAATCGCAACATGAGTTTTTCTAGATCCCAGCACCAAGTTTGCTCTTTTGAACTACAGGGTGCAGGACCAAGCTTTCTCATGCTCTTTCCAAACGTGCTGGCATGTTTCGACAGTACTGTACTTTTGAAGTGTGAAATATGTTGCGCAATTACAGCTGCGAGCTGTCGTACAAAGCCCCGGCAATGGGGCCTCTGGGGGAGAATGAGACGAGGGGCAGACGGATGATTTGCTTGGGTTCGAGAGTTCAGCAATTTCAGTGTGTGGGAGAAAATTGTCATGCACCGCCTCCAATGGGAAGCACTGTAACGTGCGGATGAACTGAGGCTCCGGCCGAGAAAGGCATTTCGCTTATCGCAGGTTCAGTCTTAGTGGAAGGTGTTACTGGTGTGTTGTTCCGGTCTGCATGCCCTGCTGTACATTGTAACGTATGTTTTTACATCGATGTAAAAAACATACATTACAATGTCTGCACGCCTTGCCAGTTAGATATGCGGGTGTCCCTCCTCCTGGCGGTCCTGCCGTCGTCCCTTTGCCGGCACTGCCAACTTCGGAGTTTTAGGGCCCACTTTGCTGCACGGCTTTCTGATACTATGTTTAAGTTCTTTGTTTCGGGGATATGGTGTGTTTGTGGTCATTTCCGACATATCCTGGCTTCTAAGATTCTACAGGGCAGACTAGTACAGACCCTATCAGCTACATAGCCAGAATGAAGGCCCCTCAGTTTCAAGAGATCCGTACTTGGATGTTTGTTGGAAGCAGCGCGACATTTGGGATGCAGTAGAAGTCCTCCACGTTTGCAGTGCTGGTGTCGAATAACATTCCCTTGAGGTTGCCGACTTGCAGAAAATAATAATTATGCACTGCATTTATGCAGCTGGTTTTGAGCCTGGAGTTGTGGCATGAGCAGCAATTGCTTGTATGGGTGATGGAGAATCATTGGTATTTCAATTCTCAACTTCAATCCGACCCTAAGTCGAACTCGTGACCCTGGTGCGCAGAAACAGTCCTCCTGGTCTCCTGCATTTTATTGCGATTGCCTTCAAGCTCAGGTTAGCCATCTCCCTGTTCTTCACTGCGACGTTCGCCACAGGTTTTACAGGCATGCTGGATTAACTAGCGAATGTGGGTTGTTGTAAAGCAGATGGCGTGTGCCACGTACGTATATAGTGTGTTGTTACTGTGTTGTTCTATACACATCGTATACGTGCATATAGTATATATATATATATATATATATATATATATATATATATATATAGCTACGCGTGCGATAAGTGCCACCTGTACTCATACACATCTCGTGTATGTATGTCTTGCATGTATTTATGTTTGCTTGCATGTAATTATTTATGTATGTAGGTATGTATGCATGCATGCATGTATGTACCCATGTATGTACGCATGCATGTATGTATGTATGTATGTAAGTATGTAATGTATGTAGGCACGTGTATTCCATGTGTCGGTGGCGTCTACAGCAAGGGGCATCACGTGTTGATACAAGCAGAAGGACAGGGCTTGCACACTTGCATGCATACCTTCACTTACCAGAACCTACTTTTGCCGGCACTCCTATACAGTCCGTATTAGGGTTTAGAACAAGAGCCTGCAACAAAATAGGTTATGGTAGTTTAAGGCGTGGAGACAAACAGATACACCCGCAGAGTTTGTGAATTGGATTGCAGGTTCCGCGAGACCGGCATGTGAAACCAGCCAAAGAAATCCAACACCACCATTTCAACGCCGTGATGAGGCCAACATGAGGTCCTCAGATGGCGCATGGTTGAGTTGTCTTGTCAACCCATCAAACCACTCCGAAGTCGCTCCCTGCCGCAGGCGTCGGTACGTTTTTCGACGTCCTGGCTCTGTGATGCTTGCCCTATGTTAAAGCCGAAGCCGCCACGACACCATGTCCAAAACTCAAGCGCTTCACCTTGAGTCCTCAAGCCTGAGCTTGGAATGCAGCATGTAGCACGAACACTTGCAGATAGAGAAGCCTCATCTTTCCTGATGCAACACGCCCTGCACACGACATTGCATGCATGATGAACATCTCCACTGATTCTGCAGGAGGATCAGGAAGCGAAAGTTTATGAAGGGTTGGAAGGCCTCGATTCGGGTAAGCGTCTCTGCCGTTTTCGCATAAAGCCGGGCATCATGTTTGCTGATCAAGGTTGTGTGTTTGGCTGTTATGTGGCATTGGGGGGTAAAACTAGCGATACCGAGGGCATTGGGGGGTACATATTCTATAGTGTATTTTGGTCAGAGTATACATGCTGAGGCCTCTTTGTCGACGTCTGGCGCCTGGTGCTCCATTCCAGCCTGCTCCTGGCACCGATGTGGACCTTGACGGGCCGCAGGACTGACCTTGACCTTGAGGAGTTAGGGGTTCAAGGGCCCAAGAGTTCGCTTAGGGCAAGAGGGGTTGGGCCGGGCTGCGGCTTTGGGGTTTTGGCGTTTAGAGGTCCCGTAAGTAGGGTTTCGGCTTTCGGGGTGGAGTGTAATTTAGGGTGTGTAGAGTCTAGAGGGCCAGAGTTTAGGAACTGAAAGTCTCAGGGGAATTGGGGCTGAGGTCTTGTGGGTTCGCATCCCTGTATCATTGCCGTGTGATCACTGTGAGCTTTGACAGGGTCCCCTCCAAGAGTTTCGACACAGCATCATTGCTGACACCAGGGTCATCATCTCCAAAAAAATCCGTCATCGTTCGGACCTTGTGCCATGGTTCTCTTCGTCGCCAAAGCCACCTTAATGTTCTGTAGTTTTCCTCCCGGTCATCATCCGAATCGCAGTCGTTCTCATGGTTATAATCCTGGGCCACCATCGTCATCGTCGTCACTAGCAACATCAACAGACACAGCAGCAGCAACAACGGCAACGGCAAGACTTTATCCTTTTCGGCAGCACCAACAACAGCAGCATTATCGTTGTCAACGTCATATGCGCAACCATGAGTGAACTAAATGGCTTTTGCTGCTGTTGTTGTGGATGCCGCTGCTGTGGTGTTGCCGCCGCTTTAGCCGCTGCCGTTGTCGTTGTCGTCGCCGTCGGTGTTATCGTTGTTGTTGATGATGTTATGTGATGTTATGCGATGTTGGTGTTGCTGTTGTTGCTATTGCTGTTGTTGTTGTTGTTGGTACAGAGAAAAACAGCAGCCCGTACTTGTTGTTAATTAGAAGCAATTGGGAATGCTTCCGGCGACCGCATAGGGTGCCTGTAGAGTTTTGGAAAGTTCAAGCCATGCCTGCCCCATGATAGAAATGCGGTGTAGGCTGGGTGGTTGTTGTAAAAGGGGGGTCAAAACAACAGACGGGGCTCCAGTTTTTGCCTCTCCTACAGGGGGTAGAGACAAAGGCACCAGCGAAATCAGGACTTTGTCTCTACCCCCTCTAGTAGAGGCAAAAACTGGAGCCCCGTCTGTTGTTTTGACCACCCCCCCTTTACAACAACCGCCCACATTACACCACATTTCCACCACAGGGAAAAGAATCTGCGATATCCAGAAGGGGTTCTGATGGGTGTTGGAAGGGCTTGTCTGGAATTTTGAGGGGTTTGCATTGGATACCCGTACATTCAAAAAACTATAGTTACCAGTTACTATACAGTAGTTTGTACAGGCCTCGCAAATGCATATTCTGCACGGCGGGGAACCACCAAATGCACTGAAATACACACCAAATACACACACCAAATCCACCGAAATACACATTAAATCCATTGAAATACACACCAAATCCATTGAAATGCACACCAAATCCATTGAAATACACACGCAATCCACTGAAATGCACACCAAATCCACTGAAATACACACCAAATCCATTGAAATACACACCAAATCCACTGAACTCCGCACCAAATCCATTGAAATACACGCGCAATCCTCTGAAATACACACGAAATCCATTGAAATACACACCAAATCCACTGAAATACAGAGCCAATCCACTGAAAATACACACCAAACAGTATACATCACAGTCATCCACAGGCACTGTGTTGTTGTTGTTGTTGGGGGGGGGGGTAAAACAACATGACGGGGCTCCTGTTTTTGTCTCTACCTAATGTACAGACAAAAAGCAGATATATGGGTTGACGGGGCTGCAGGTTTTGTTTGTACCTTGTTGTTGTTGTTGTTGATGATGTGTTTGGTGAGGCTGACTCAACTTTGGCACCTGCTTAAACTGCGCACCCTAAACCGTTCGTGTTGTTTGCTCCTGGAGGTCCTCTGGCGGGGCGTACTCCCCTCGAGAGCAGGCTACCGCTGCATGTTTGGAACGCGACGCAGAGTTCCCCTGCAAGCATGTTTTACATTTTTGAAGGTTTTACGAGGTGACGATGGTAACCGACCCAAATGAGAAATAGAAATACAAGTTGTCGTAAGAAGAAGAACAAAGTTAATTATAAATAATAACATTCAGAAGAAGAACAAAAGGAACTAGATCAGTAGCCATCATTTATCTTATCTTATCATCATCATCATCATCTGCTTCGTCTGCGTGTTCGTCTTCGGAACCCACGTCGGCAACCTCTATGTCGGTTCAGGGTTTAGTGTTTGGGAAATCATAGCTTTCAACATCCTTCAACCTGAATCGTCGAGATCGTCTACAATTGCAGTCACCAGCACCGGTAATATTACGAGAAGCAGCCCCAAGAAGCAAAGTCAGCAAGTATTAGCTACAGCACAAACCTGTGCATGGTTTGCAGAGTCACAGTGACGAGAATGATGATGGCCACCATCATCACCGGTGTCAGGATCATCTGCGTCATTAGAATCGGCCTCGTGATCGCCATCGTCGTCAGGATCGACGGCACCTAGCACGAATCCTGGAAATGGACCTCTGTTGCCGGAGCTTGCAGACCTAACCCACAATCATCGCCAAACCTCAGCCATTTAGGCCCAGAGACAAGCTCCAAAGAACTCACTCTCCGCCCTTCATTTCTTGCCATGTCGAACGGCGCCAACAGCGCAAAGCCCGCAGCTATCGGGCAGCGATTGAGTTTGGTATGGAAGGTTTATGGTTAACAAGTGATTTACTCTACGTATTTCCGCTACGTTCGGACACTCGAGCCGTAAGAGACGGGCATGAGCTGGTGGATTGATGATGCAGGGCTGCCACACCCCCCCCCCCCCCCCCCCCCACCCCATGGTATCCTCCCCCCTTCCCCCCCGCCCCCCCTGTGGTGTGGGGCCTGTGGTGGTACTCTTGTTGCCGCGACGTTCTTCTGTGTTACTCCTTGTCTTCGCTCTTTCTGTGGCACCGGTGATACTGCTCATGATGTTGCGCTGCTCTAGACCGGGACATGAGTCGACAATCAGACCATGCTCAACATCATTCTTGTCGTCGTCATCTTCATCATATTAATACCTTCAAAAGAGTGTCTGCCACCATCACCATCGCCATACAACTCTCATAATTCAGCATTGCAATTCATGTCAGATGCTGGAAACTGCTGAACCGATTCCCGCTTTCCGCACACGGCAGGGCATAGTGCGACCCTCCCGATCCGCGCACAAGGTCAAGGGGCGGGCAAGGTGTGGGTCGGGGGTGGGCCGGGGCGGGCAGGGCGGGTGGGCGTGCAGCAGCAGGGCAGCAGGGGGTGGGGGGGGATACCATTGGGGGGGGGGTGGCGGCTCGGGACCCGAGAGCATTGATGGGGGAATTAGGCTTGGAGCTGTTTTGATTTGGTACGGTTGTCGTCACGTCAGCATCACTGGGTCTTTGATAGCAGGACTCAACTTTCATGTGCCGGCACTCTTAACCTCCAGCCCGAAAAGCCTGAAGACCCAGAACCCATCCCCGGACGAAGAGCACTCAACAAAAGATGCCACTATAAGGGCTTAAATATAAGTGTAATAATGGGCCCCAAAACCCTATTCTAACTATGAAGGCCCATAGATTGCATCCTCGCTTCAAGAAGGTCGACATGATGGCTGGCATGGAGAGACAAGAGCGCATCCTCGTCATTGACTTCGGTTCACAGGCCTTTGGTCGACTTCGGGCCTGGGGGATGGGATGTTCAAGAGCCGCAGGCGTTTTCTGCTAGGTTCCTGAGTAGTGCCCTGTTGCCCTTTTTATTCTAGGGTCCCCCTTCTTAAAACCGAATAGTAGGAAAAAGGGTACCCTTATTGGAATGGGGCTACTCACGAACCTAATCTGGGTTTCGATTTGGGTTTGGGCTTCAGGGCAGCGACCCCGTCTCTTAAACCGAAAAAACTGGAGGCGATGGGCCCACGCTTGCTTCCCTCAAATGGAGATGGCATGTGTGCTCTATAGGAGCGATCTCCTTCTGTGGCTGTGGGTGTAACATCCGAAAGGTATCAGGCCCAAGCCTCGCAACACTCACAGCTAGAGATCTAGAGTCTCGACGCAAACCAAGGTCTAACCAGGCTCAGTGCCCTCCATGCTTTCCTCCGTCGTAACACCATCCACGGTGTCACGACCCACGAAGATGAAGCTCTGTCTGCTTTCGCCGAGAAAGCATCTGGAAACCAACAACAGTCTCCCCGATTCCGCTCACAAGGCCTTGACATAGAACAAGGTCCCCAAGAGCTGAGCAGCTAACATCCTGCGACCCCCGACCCCAAGCCCCAAAAAGACCTGCCCGAGATCCTGACAAGCAGGTCTCTCACTTGATCTGCCGTCGTGTGCGCGAAGCGGGAGTGTACTGCGAGCTCCGATCTTGCCTCCTCAAGCTCGAGGACTTGATGTGAACGGGCAGAGCAAGAATTCACAACACCATAGTAAGGTTATCAACAATCAGGGTAACGAGAAAACTGACAATACAACAATAACAGTCGTAAATGGAACATCAGTACCAATATGACAAAGTAAGAAAAACGACATCACACACAAAAATGATGATGACGACGATGGTGATGTTTAACTAACTGACTGACCGAGACCTGACTGACTGACTGACTAACTAACTACTACCTAACGAACTAGCTAGCACACTGGACAACGAACAAACTAACTAGCTCGCCAACTAGCCACATAACCACTTTTTCGACCAACAGACTAACAAACTGGTCGAGTAGTCACCTAGCCAACTAGCGCCTGACTAACTAGCTGTCTACCCAGCTAACCAACCAACCAACAAACGAGCTGATCAACTAATGAACTAACGCACGGATGAACTTACTGACCAACCACCTAGCTGGCACTTCTCCCGTCAACAATGGCAACAGTACGACGACTGCTTTGATGTACCACTATGGCTAGGGCCGCGACGCTTTCCCGATATTTTGTGTACATAGGTACAGATGAATACACAGACATGCGCCCGATTCCTGTTTTGAGGCTTGTTTTTTTCGCCGGCCAGGATGTGAAGAACTTCAACCCCAATGGAATCATTCTCAGCGGCGGCCCCCACTCCGTCTATGACAAGGATGCACCGCACCTGTGCAAGGACGGCAGTGGGGTAGGACTACGGGTTTGGAGGCCAAGTGCTGCAGGTCGTCCCCATTCCTCGTATGTGTGGTCTCTTCTTGTTCTTTCCGTGTTTGTTCCTTTTCCGGGGGCTTTAGGTAGAGCTTTTGCAAACCCGCCTGCTTGTGCGCATGGCCAATGTAGTTTGGGATTCTTGGGTTCTTGCAAACCTGTGTCAATTACCATCAGAGCATACGGCAGTTTCAGGGTTCCGAAGCTTTCGTGCTTGCGTTTGTGAGTACAAATACAAGTATGAAGGCTTCAAGTGCATGCGTCAATGAGTAACACCAAGCAAATGCTAGCCTCAGGGGAGCACATGTTCAACAGCAGACTACAGTCACTACAGTGACGAAATGCAACGAAAGCTGCACCCAGCCTACTCTAACAGGCAATGGATCATGCTCTACGCTTTTTCTTGCTTTTTTCTCGTCGCCTACTAACAATATATAGCCTAACATGTCAACCCCAACTATCATCTGACAATGCGGATGGCGGCGCCTTTCCTGCCTCGAGGCCAAACTGCCCTTGTGATTATTTTGTTTTGCTACGTATCCCTCATCATATAGCAGTACAACAGTCAGTATTATTGTTACGATTGCTACTATTTTTTGGTTCTCGTTGCTAGGACATTTGGGGCTACATCGACGAAAAGAAGCTGCCCATCTTCGGCATCTGCTATGGCTTGCAGGAGTGGAGAAAGCAAGTGAGTTTCGTCCTGCCTAGGGGTTTGGGGAGTTAGGGTTTAGGGCGTATAGGGTTTGTAAGTTTTGGGCTTATGGGGCGTATATGGTTTAGGGGTTAGGGCATGGGGCTTGGGGTTTGAGGTTTGGGGAGTTGGGGCTCAGTCTAAGAACCCGCCAAAAAGCACAATGTCTCCCTGGTTACAGCAGAGCCAAGAGCTAAAGCAAGAACACTTGACGGCTGGATCACTTGTCGTTGGAGCATTGGTATGGTGGAACGATGTCGAACGTAGTGTTTCGGGCCTTTTTTGGCTCTTGCATGCGAGGTTATGGAACCCAATCGTCTCACTGAACCTTACCTCCATGCGATTAGAAGCCTGAGCACACTCGCCTCGATCAAAGCAGGAGATGTGCCACTCCCTCGGCGGCAAAGTCGAAGCCGGCGTGAAGCGCGAGTTTGGACATGCTGACCTGCTTATTCGCTCCTCGACAATATTGCAGGGTCTCGTAATTATCAACAGTCACTCATAGTAGAGGCAAGGACGATGGTCGGACGATGACAACCCTGATAGGTGGACAAACATCAAAGCTCGGTTGACATGTAATTAATAAGGACAGCGGATCCCATTCTGAGAGGGAGCGCTTGTACGTCTAATTCTGTTTTTCCTGTAGGTTAGTTGAGGTAAGGTCCTGCACCCAGCCCAGGCCATGAGTGATGTGTTGACTGCCATCATCTAAAGGTTCTTCTAAGGAGGGCCTCTTGTGGAACACCTTCGGGTTCTTTCTTGGTTTTCAAGCCTCTCATGTCACCATGAGCCCTGTTTGTGCCGCCCTTTTCCCGTCGACGTCTTGATATCTTCCTTGTTATGGGGTGAACAAGTATTTTTTGGGCCGTAATAATTACCTATAAGTATTTTAGGGGTTCTTTATTGTTACAGTTTTAGTATGATATACCCCAACACCGGATTCTAGTTATCAAAGCCCCTATAGTATCACCCAAGACCCGAAGAAAGCAGCCTCGTGAGATGCGATAGCGGTGCAGCGGGGCATGTCCCATGTCCGAATGCAAAGGTGAAGACGTGGCAGTGCAAAGCCAAAACGGTGCCAAGAAGAGCAAAGGCTCGCCTTGCCTGGCTTCTATTCTCTGCTTCGCTACTGCTGGGTCTGAGTGCACCTATCTATAGTTCATTCTTGTCTATCAAGGTTATGAGGTTAAGGAGTCTAAGATTTGCGAGTTCTGTCTAGTAGTTCAGGGCTCACTGCAAGGATGGGGGTTTAGCAGCTCCGCTCGAGAGGCCGCAGCCCCATCTTCGAGGGCATCGACGGGCAGAAGGTTCCGGTATGGATGAGCCACGGGGACAAGGTCACCCAGTGCTTCGGCAGCACGAAGATAGGCGAGCAGCTCTGCAGATTTGCAGATACCTGGGTGGAATTGGGACAGTACTGAGAGCGAAAATCTCTCTGAGTAGAATAAGTGCGAGCTTTGGGAATACAGCAACCTTACCAGCTGAGCATAAATGTCTGTGTCTTCTCATCGCAAGTGGTGTAGCAATGGCTACGGGGTTCATGTGCTTGGGCTTGGTAGGGCGAGTTGAGGATGCCACCACACCGAGGATTCCTCCGGGTTTCGCATCGATCGCGTACACTTCCAACACAGAGTATGCGGCGATCGAAGATCAGGCGGGAGAGATGCTGTGGTAGAGCTTAGTCTCCAGATGTGGGAGTGCCTCCGAAATGAAAGCTGCAGAACCTCCTGAAACCCTGCTGAGTACTAGCGGTATGCAGAGCAGGAAGACCCTTCAAAGAGCTGCAACCACCCCCTGTACCTAAACCCCGGAAGCGCCAACTCGAAGCTTGGAATACACGTCTTACTTCCAGTCATCTAGGGGCAACTTGAAGGTCCAAGCTTGAGAGCCTAAGAAACCCGCGAATTCAGAATCTACATGTGGGTTTCCCAGGAAGGGAAGCTTGACCCAGACCCCAGAGAAGTAAGGTACCCTAGGACACCCTGAACCCTAAACCCAGACTCAGAGTAAACCGTACAGGATCCCTGACCTCCACAGCTGCAGGTGCGACACTTCTACGGTGTGCAGTATCACCCAGAGGTGGGTCGTGTTGAAGGGACTTCGGAATAAAACACACAAAACTGAATGGGCTCAGGGGATCGTAGGTTTAAGGGTTTTTAGTGTCGAGGGTTTGAGGGTTTAGGGGGTTTTAGGTTTAGAGTTCAGGGATCAGTGGGTCCGCATTTACAGTAGAGTAAAGCCTAATATAAAGTAAGGAAGCATCAGACAGGATTTGGAACTGTAGTTAGATTTCAGGAAAGATTGTGGTGTTACCATGAATGCCGATGTAGATCATTGCCTGCGAAGTCAATGTACAGGTCACGCACACGCCGAATGGCGCGACAATGATCAAGAACTTCGTGCTGAAGGTGGTTGGCTGCAGCCGGGCTCACCTTATGACCGCACACGCAGACAGCTTGGTACACCGAATGCGTGCATGGCCACAGAGTCTCCAGGTTTTGCCGTGACATGATTTTTGCAAACTCGTGCGTGCATGCAGGTTTGGTGAAGTTTGTAAGTCTGTGTAATCAGTGTGTCCTGTAATGCTACAAGCAAAGCTTGAGTTCCAAATGCGGGGGGACGGTCACCGTTTATGCTGTTTCCGTTTCGGACCTCGTCACCAGATTCACTGCACTGCTCTGGTTTGAGCCTTTTTCATTGTTCTATCTGGCAAGACAGTTACCAGTCATTGCCATCCTTCCCCCTCGTATAATCCACTTTCATGCGATGTGCCTGGCTCAGTCTTAGCACAGGCCAAGCGGCATAAGGTCTCCCGCTTCGGATGTGAAACTCAGCAGCTGGACTCGAAAGCCATTTAGGAGCGACCTCGCCCAGGCAAGGGTGAGTGGAACATGCACGACTTCTGCCAGAAGCAAATTGATCCATCACTGCATTTCAGCCCTGAAGCCCTAAAGCCCAACCCCCTGAGCTTTTCCCATAAGCCGAAGCTCTTCCCGAATTTCCCAAGCCTGACCAAGCCTATTCGACTCGAACAGAGAGTGATAGCGAGACTGTGGCTATTTGAGAGAGGATGGCTAGTTGGATCGTGATATAACTTCTGAGACGGAGATTCTGGCGCCAGGGTCGCAGGTTCAGGGAGGGTTGAGGGTTTAGGGTTCCGGGTTTAGGAGTCTTATAAGAGTGTGGAGGTTGGAGTTTAGGTGATTGGGGTGTACACGAGCTTCGCTGCTAGGATTGTAGCTGTGCAGTAGCTTTGCACGTAAAACTCAAAAAGGGGCATGTTTTGTTATCAGGACATCATTATGAACAAGCTCGACGGCAAGTATGTCGTGGGAGCTGTCAGTGGCGGCGTGGACTCCAGCGTGGCAGCCGCACTGGTCCACAAAGCGCCGCTTGCCGGAGGGTAGGGTCGAAGGTTTCGGCTTATTGGATACGGGCTTAGGTCCCAAGAGCGTATAACTGAAGGGATTGAATATCGATAGGGCGGGTAGTAGATGTCCAGGGGCTTTGAGTATGTGTGTGGAGGTTTCTTACATTGTCTCAGGTGTCAGTGTTTGAAGATGGCAGGGTCTCTCTCCCTCTCTCTCTATCTATCTCTCTCTCTCTATCTCTCTCTCTCTCTCTCCCTCCCTCTCTCTCTCTCTCTCTCTCTCTCTCTCTCTCTCTCTCTCTCTCTCTCTCTATCTATCTCTCGATATCTAAGTCTAAATCCATCTATCCACGCCAGAGACTCTCACCCTCGCCGACTTTTTTCTGCAGAAAGCTGAAACAAATGTCAAGCCCTTAGGTCTTAGTCTTAGACCCGAAACGCATGAACACGGGCGCGGACAAAATTAAACAAACATGACTCGACACACAGAACTCTGAGGCCCCCAGACCCATATCCTCAACCCAAAAACCCTAAGCCCGAGACAAAAAGCTTAATCCAAAGAAGTAAACCCCAAGTACACCGAAAACCTTGCACTCCAACCCTCGATTTCGAGGATTGGAGATCGCTTCCGACCTTTCATGGTGGACACCGGGCTTCTGCGAAAAGATGAGGCTGGCGCGACTATTTTTTTTTGGAAGGAAGGTCCTTCGGCTGTTGACCGTTGGGTCCTCAAGAAAGATCTAACTATCGTCTCCGGGTAACTTTGTTGGGCCACGGTTACCTTTTTGGATCCTGACTGCAAAACTAGTCAAATCAAAAAAGGGTGCACCCCACTCTCCCTTGACTCTGCTTACACGGAGCCTATAACTGGACAGTCCACCATCGTCAAAGAGCGCCTGGAGAGCCACATCCCTGGGATGAAGCTCAAGGCCTGCTTGGGAGCCAACCGAACCAAGGGCGAACAGGGCTATGGCATAGCCATGCACAGGTGTATGTACATGTCCATATGTGCACTAAATTTGCGGCGACGTACCTTTATACGGATCGTGCTGCACGACGCCTTCTATTCGCAATTTGGTTTTAATTCGAGCCTCAGGGTTCCGAGATTAGTGTATGGGGAAGTACGGTGGGGTTTTATCGTTCAGTAAATGCTGAATCAGGGGCTTCGGAAACTTGCGTGTTTGGTGCTGTCGCCGACAAGTGGCGACTTGAGCTCCACGACATCCCGCGTCGCTGTTAGCTACGTTGGAACGTTGGAAGCTGCTAATTGCTATTGTCGCCCTTGCTTCTGTCGCGCTAAATCCTTTGCTTCTCGCAAGTATTGCAGATTTATGTAACCTTCAGCGAACTTTCCCGCCCCCTCCCCTCTTCCCCCCAAATGTCTGTGCCGAACTTCCCAACTTCCTGCGAACGTTTGTCGAAAGTTTGGCTGCAAGTCGTGGCAGGTGCTGGATGCCAGTGCTGATTTCTACAAGGAGTAGCTGGGAATTCACAGGGCCCTGGCCTTGCGTTTGAGGAATGTCCGAGGGGTTTTACGGGTTTGTAGAGGGTTTCGTTCGTGTTGGCAGGTGCTGTGGTTTGTTCAGTTTTCAAGTCCTTTGGCGTTGAGGTGAAAGTTTTTTGTTCTTTCGCCTTCGTAGGCCCCAAGCGGTTGCGTGTGTATGTATTGTGCTGCCAGAGGTCTCGGTCCTTCTCACTCCTGAACGAAATCCCTGTGCGTCAGGGTTTAGGGCGTGTGATCATAGGGTTTAAGAAATGAAAAGTAATTGTGGGGGTCATTGGGGGCCTGCGGTGATTGGCACTGGAACCACATCAGAACTCACCTTGTCAAGCATCGGTTGTATGAGAGCACAATTGTCAATGTCATTGGCAGGCAGTGCCCGCACCAACAAGGACAGGGCAAGTTATAATGCAATCAAAGTGCGCCGGCAGACAATCCAGCAGAAAGTGGCGAATTCCACACCCTCAACCCCCAATCTGAGAAACCGTAAACCCTAAATCCTCAACCCTAAACCCTAAATCCCTTCGCAGATGTGTATGTCCCTGCCCCTGCTGCAAGGATGACACGCTTGACTCCGCAGGTGCATGGCCCCTGCAGCAAGGAAGACAGTCAGGCACGTACAGAAGACGTTTTTTAAATCGAGAAGTGTACCAAGTTAGATCTTATTCGCTTTCGCTTCTGCTGCTAAAACAGTTGGCTGGCCCTCGTACTCGAGGGTTATGAGCCCAAGCCTTCGTGTGCCCTGTTGCCATGGACACTCTTGCTTCTAGAAGGAGAAAGTCGAGCTCTGTGCCTCCTGGTGGGCTTAGTGGCGGTGCTACGGCAGCTGACACACCTGTCCCACTTGAATCAGGAGATGAGCTTGAGCCTTCGTACGAGGACCAAGATGCAGCGGGAGCAGCCAACAGTCAGACTGGGATTGATGGTGAGGCCCCAGCCTCTTCGAAGCCTCTACCAAATCCTTTTTGGTCTGAAAAGGCTACAGCAGAATTTCAGTTGAACCAGTCCCGACCGCGCGACTTACCTAGCACTACTGAGAGAGATGATGATGTGGACGTGCATCCACCGTATGACTTCTCTGAGCCAGCCATGGCATCTTCTGGGCAAAATGCTGGGAAACTTGATGATAGAAGTGAGTCAAGACTCTTGCACCGGGGTCTCGGAGCGAGCTCTCCGGGATCCAGTGGCAAGGCGTCGATCCTGGAGCGTGGTGAGACGACTACGAAAGTGGAAGTCAGGAGCTATGCCCTTCAGGTGACGGAATCCCCGACGGGACCAACACAGCCGGACCATCAAGGAGCTCAGTACTTCATGATTGGTTCGGATGGGGGTGACACTCCGTTTCGCGAGCAGGAGTCTACAAAGGTTAGGAGTTTGGATGGGGAGATGTTCTCGCAAAGAGCTTCTACTGCAGGCAGAGCTTCTGACGTCAGGGACCCTAGCCAGGCTACCGTTGCAGCGCTCCTGCAACGGGTCAAGGACCTTGAAGATGCGCTAGTGGCGGAAAGAAACTCAGGAGCTTCGGTGTCAATGAAGTCCGCTGCTGGTCAGAATACGGGAACCTCAGTGTCGATGAAGTCGGCGGTAGGTGGTGCTGGTAGAGCTGTAGGAGTAGATGCTGAAAATGTGGATGGAAACCCGTCCGTTGTACAGACAAGTTTCTGCGATCCCCCAGGGTTAACAAGTGTGAGTAATGAACACAATGATAATAGTGTGGGTGGTCTTGGAAAATGGGTGTATGTTGATGGTGGTTACCGGCAGCTTGCCCTCAATGCACAGGGAGTTTGGACTTTACTTCCTAGCGTGCTAAATCAACCACCTCCTCCTCCTGTTCAGCCCCAAGCACCTCAATCTTCGGCAAGTCTCCCAGGGCCTTCCTGGATTCGGGGGCCAGCGCTTCCTGTTGAAGGGCACGGTTGGACTTGCCCCGCACAGCAGCTTCACCAAGTGCAGCAGAGTGTGCCGGAGCCGGTACAAGGAGGATCAGGCTTCTTTACGCCGCCGCAGATTCCTGAAGACCTTAGTGGGTTGCCTAAGGGTTTAGTTGAGTTTGTAGGCTTAGGTGGCCCTCCGCAGTACCGACCAGCTTCGATGTCACATCATGTTGAGCAAGCGGCTCCAGCAATGCAATGCACTCAGGGTTATAGTGGGTTAGTTGGTCCTCCACTCCACCACGTAGCTCCGATCCCTACGCCCCATCCTGTTGAGCAGTCGTTTCCAGGAATGCAATGCACTCAGGGTTTTGGCATTGGTTCGGGTGGTTCATTTCTGCCCCAGGTACCTTCGATGCCTTATCCGCAGTATCCTGTTGAGCAGTCGGTTCCAGGATTGTATAGCACTCAGGGCTATGATAGGGATTCGAATTATCTGGTGTCACATCAGACAGCCTTCCCGCGTCATCATGATGAGCAGTCGGTTGTGCCTAATACCTCCTCAAGCCCGGTACCACCCCCGCCTCCTAGTGGTTTAGGACCTGACTTTGGGGTGAGACAAGAGATAGGGTTTAGGGTAGATCGCACGCCAGGTGGTACTCCGGTGCCTCCGTTGCCTCCACCTTTAACCCCAACTCCAACGTCTGAAATCCGCCGTCAGGAGCTTCGGTACTCGCCTCAATGGCAGCGCTGGCATGATCTTCCACAGCTCTCGGAGCTGAGAACTGATGAGGCACCGATTGCAGTGGGCGATTGGATAACATTAGTGGGTCCTATAGTTGGGGACATTAGTACTGGAGCGGGTCTTTGGTGGGTCAAGGTTAAGGATAGGGCTGAAGCTTTCTATGCACAGTGGCTTAATGCTACCCCGCTACACCGAGCACAAATTGAAGTAACCTTAGGATCTGAGCTTTCCCAGCCGCAGTATGCCCGGCTTGAGCAACGAGTAACATCGATGCTGTTGGCCTCGCTTCCACAGAACTTGAGACAGGACATCCTAGCTTCTAGGGTTCTCAATTCGGTGAATGTTTTGTATAGGGTGATGGTTGCAGGGCAGCCAGGAGGAACTGCTGAGCGCGCGACACTGTTGAACTTCTTGACTCAGCCAGGGACTGCACAGAACCCGGCGGAAGCATTGGAGAAATTGAGGAAGTACTCAAGATGGAGATCGCGTGCGGAGCAGCTCAAGGTTTCCCTCCCCGATCCTTCACTCCTGCTCAGGGCTGTTGAGAGCATCGTGTCTGGAATCGTGAGTTCGAGCACTTATAGGGAGTTGGCTTTCAGGCTTAGTGTGCTGAAGCTTGAGCTCTCTTTAGATCACGTGCCAACACATGAGAAGGTTGAAAAGTTCAGGAGGCAGGTTCATGCCGAGATGGAGCTGCTCGCGGTGAGCGCTCAGGCGCTCTCTCAGGAAGAGAAGAGACAGCGGGTAAGGAGAGCCAAGGCCACTGAGGAGGAAGGAAAGGAGGAGAAGCCAGAACACAGGAAAGGAAAGGGCGCGAACAATACAGGAGGCAAGGATGCAGGTAAAGGTAAAGGACTTAAAGGCAAGCCTTCTGATGCCCAGCCTGAAAGCAATCGCCGAGTCTGTCAGTTTTGGGGTTCCGCAAAGGGGTGTAACGCCGGACGGTCATGCCAATACAATCACGATCTTAGTGTTGTTGAGGATGGTAGTGGTAGGTGCTTTGAGTGTTCATCCACTGAGCACTGGAGGAATGCGTGCCCAGTGCTAGGGAGAGGCCCACCCACTGCCGCTGGCAGCGCTGACCATAAGGCGGGTGTAGAGGCCTCAGCTAAGGCTGAACCTAAGCGGGGTCCCCGGAAGAGAGTTCGCAAGGTTGGTGGAGTTGAGGTTCCTGAGGGTTCGGAAGCTCAGGCCTCGCAGTCTGAGGGCGCACCAGCTGCAGCGACAGGGCCCTCAAATGATTTGGTGAAGGAAGCCATTGATGCCATTAAGTCTTTGAGGATATCCAAGCTGTGTGCTGTTAAAGCCGAAGAATCTAGAGACGCCGTTTTGGGTTTGTTGGACGGTGGTGCCACAACCTCACTTCGACAAGCCATTAGTCTGCAAGAATGGGAAGCTGCCGCCCCAGTGGTAGTGCATTTAGCTTCAGGGGAAACAAACAATCTTCGGATCGCCAGCACAGGCGTCCTGCTAGCAGAGCCAGCGTCGTTGAGTCAGCAGAAAGCTGCTCCGATTGTTGCTTTACATCAGCTTGTGAGCCTAGGGTATCAGGTTCGTTGGACCTCAGGAGGCTTTGTGTTGCGAGATCCAGAAGGCTCTAAGGTGCCAGTTGTTCTGGTGGCAGGTTGCCCGGAGGTTTCGTCAAAGCTTGCCTTGGATATGATATCTAAGATAGAAAAGCTGAGTGGGGTCGCTGTGAAGGCTTATGCGTGTAATGGGCACCTTAGCCAAGACGTACCCCTCACAAGTCTAGCCACGGCGCTGTTGGCAGGAAAGGGCCCGCATCCCGATCGTTGGACGTGGCTCACCGAACTAGTGGGTCTTCAAAGTAGCTCTCTTCTTTCGCAGGTGCTCGATGAGCCGAGGATGGAAGCCGTTGGCATACAGCCACGTTTCAACCGTCGCACTCGCCGCACCTTAAGCCAGTGTGAAGGGATAGCTGTTGTGATTGGAGATCCTAAAGCCTACGTAGGAACCGTGCCTTCAAAATGGGGAACGATCCGCCTAGATCACAGGGAGGTGAGGGATGAAGGAATTCACGCATTCCTGTTTGAGCTTGCGCGGATAGGCCTTATCAGGCAAGTGGTGTGCACTGATCTTCCAAGTCTTTTTCCCGCTATGTGTAACGGTTGCCAATCGCCTGAAGCCAACGCGGCTAAGGATGCACTGGTACTGCTTAGAATCCTGCATTTGTGTGGTCAAGCCGATTGTGGCCGAAAGGCTGCGGGTTTTACAATCCCACCGTTGTTCCTGTGCGAAAGTGACAACGATCCGCAGGTCGGGGCTTTGGTCAGATCATCACCGTGGCATAGTGTTAGTCATGGCTTGGTTAAGTCACTGATGTTCCACCAGCAGCAA